ATTACTTTGTGTAGCACAATATCACAGCAGCAGTCGCCTTTCGGGGGTTCATGGACAGTTTTGATTTGATAAAAAAGATAAACTGTCTGATAAACCCACAACAAAACAAACAATTGGATAACTGTCCCAGAACACACCCTGTCCTTAGACACAAAAAATAAAAACATTCAATAAATCAAATCTTTGGGCAGGAGAAGGGAGAGAGAGAATTTGTATTCCAACGACTAGGCCTGTCACGATAATTATAATACCGATTTATAATTCAACATATGAAAGCAGAAACAATATATTTTGTGACTCAGTATTCATCGTGTGTACAATTTCCTTGCAATAGTGGGGGGATTTTAGCCTTTTTTATGTAATACGATCAAATTTAAGTTGTAGACGATAGACTAATTAAAATCTATGGCAAATTATTGGTTCATTCTGCCAATTAACTGTTGCAGCTTGTGTCTTATTTAAAAAATGATTTACTGGGATTATTCTTCTTTGTGTCAGTAGCATAAAGTATTTTATATTTCTCTGTAGTAATATTTCATGCTTCAAAATTTTTTATCATGACTACATTGAGAGTAAACACTATTAGTATTAGTAAATTGCAAAGGCTACAATACTTAGGTATATACTTGTCAGAAAATAACCGAGATATTAACACAAAGAAACTCAGAAGGCAGAATTCAGGGTTTTTACTCACGGCGAGGGACAGAGGCGCTGCTACAGCTCTTAACTGCCGAAGAACCACCGTCCAACGTCACGTATTTATTAAATCACACAGGTTACAAGAATAAATGGGCGGTTACATTTTTCTATCACAGTAAAAAACACAGAGAATAAAGGTTTGTGTGTGTGTGCTGTGTGTGTGTGTGTGTGTGTGTGTGTGTGTGTGTGTGTGTGTGTGTGTGTGTGTGCGTGTGTGTGTGTGTGTGTGTGTGTGTGTGCGTGTGTGTGTGTGTGTGTGTGTGTGTGTGTGTGTGTGTGTGTGTGTGTGTGTGTGTGTGTGTGTGTGTGTGTGTGTGTGTGTGTGTGTGTGTGTGTGTGCGTGTGTGCGTGTGTGTGTGTGCTGTGTGGATGTGCTTAGGGAGGACTGTCCTTGGGGAAGATAACAGTTAATGAGAAGTTGGTTTTCCCGTGAGAAATACACTTTGATAAAATAAGACAAAGAATCATCTATACAAAGTTTGAAAAACTCTTTAACAATACTGTAAGTCATCCTGTCTCTGTGGTAATTTTTACAGTTTGATCAAGTTTGATCAAGTCACAAGCCCAAAACTGTATGAAGCCCTTTGTGACTGGGACAAAAGCACCTCACTACTTCTAATTAGTGATGTAACCATATTCAAACCTCATGGTACGATATTATCACAATATTAATTTCATGGTATGATATTTTGGAGAGGTTTATAGAATTGTAGATAGGATACTTTTTGCTTTTAAAATACCTTGACGAGACCTCGGTGTGAATCATTACTATCATAATCCCAAGAATTAAAGTAAAAAACATATTTCTTCATGTTGTCTGTACTGAAATGAATCATGGTATATGTAGTTCTCTTTGTTTATTAACTGTTGCTATGATAAAACATACAAAAGAACATATAATTTAATATATTATGACAGCTCTTGATATTAATTTGAGACTTTTGACTATACAATATCATGATATTTTGGTTATTTTTACATCTTTACTTCTAACTGAACTTTTATATGAACTGTGTAATGTTTTTTTTTTTTTTTTCTGAGTTTTGTTAAAATCCTCCAAAAATACCCCAATGATTCAACTCACTGCAAGTGCTTCTGCCACACTTTGTACTGGAGTCACTGGGGAATACATGTGTGGCATGTTGTATTTTGACCCCGGCTGCCCTTTACTACAGATGGGAAGTCTCCTCACGGATGCCAGAGTTATAGGGAATGATGCCGCTGTGTTTTGCTTTTTAATGAGGCCCGGTCGATTTCAGTGGCGGGATCAGCGGCACGTACAAACAAGCGTGGGAATCTCGGCGTTAGCATGGCAGCCTTTAAAGTCGGAGCGGGCGCAGATCACATTAAGTTGAACACAGCTTCAAAGACGAGTTTGTTGCACAGTATTTGGGCGTAGTGATGTCAGAAATATCTTGGCATGTGTTTCAAGCCTCGATGTCCCACTTTTTCTTTTTTTTTTTTCCTCGGGAGCCAGGGGAATATCAGGTTTTGGTACCAACTAAAGGTGTGTGTGACTAGAGTTGTGGGAATTTTGTTATAACTTTTTGCACTTTTATGGCAGTGAAACAAAGACCTCTGCACACCCATCTATGCAGAGTGGGATCTATAGGGCTAAAAATAATACAGGCTTTCTATTAGCCCTCCAGTTTTGCTTTGGAAAGCGGCTGCCAAGTGAACAGGGTCAAGATTATTTAGTGAGAGGACCTTCGGGATGTGCCTTTGCTGCTCTTGCCTATCCCCAAGCCCCCTCCAGACTGTGTAATTGCCCTGCTTTTGGAGGACTTTAAGGCTATTTGGTGTGTTTGAAAGCAGATTTGAAACACTGGTGAGTTAAAGTTAGTGTTTGAGTCATCAGTTTCAAATGTATTTAAGATCAACTTTATACACACAATTTTTAACAGAGCTGACCAAATGCTATTATAATAGAATATGTAAAAAAATGAATTTCACATTATTATATCAGGGCACATAAACATACATGAAACATAAAGTATTATATATCCTAAAGAAATTGCCAACCAAGATCTGACCAGTTGCTTGTCATGGAGATTGAAGAGTTTAATGCCATACCGTGGAATATTTTTGGCAAAGCATGTCTCGTGGGGCATCCAAAGTTACATGGTGAAACTGTTTAGCCGTAAAACATTGTTCAATTGGAATAAAAGTTTAAAAAAAAAAGACTCCTACTGGATGCTACTACAATGGTTACTGCTACAAAGTTCTACATGAATTATGAACAGTAAAAGTACTTTCTCTTCATTAAATTCCAGAACTGGCCTCCAAATTCCGCTAACTCCCTCACCTGCTTTAACCCCCTGTCCAATTGAGAATGACTGGAGGCTAATGAGAAACTTCACGACTGTCAAAGAGTGAGGCTGAGCGGCTCTTAGTTAAATGTCACTGTGTTAAATAATGGAAAAAGCTCTGGGGGTATTAAGCCTGGTAAACTTCCACTTCATTTCAATAAGGTCCCGTTGAAGAAGACGTCCACAGCATGATAGAGAGCCCTGCGCGAGCTGAGGTTGTCATACTAATGTCCCTCTGCAGCCCCAGGCACAACCGTCTCTCCATTTTATTCGAAATACTCCATAAATTTGCCCCAAGACAAATTTGCCCTTGGAATAAAGAGTGAAGGCAAGGCGAGATAAAGTCTTCATCATTGTGCACTTTTTCTCAGTGCTTTTGAATATTGATGCCACATTAAAGGCCAGAGCTGCCATGTTGACACAGACAGACTGCTGGATAATTAATGTGGCATAGATTCAGTTATGTACTCAAGAGTAATTGGCTTAGAGTAAGCTAACCGCCGGGGCTAAGTCGATGCTAGGTGGATTATTGTAATGTCTGTAATGAGTCACGGTGATTACATCGGTTAATGAGAGCTCAAGTTATTGGTGCAGACTGACAGGCGGCTCTTGGAACGATAGGATCTGCGAGACCCTTAGTGTCTGACTAAGACTGGTCCAAGTCATCCCATTAGCTTTGGAGTTCAAGATTAGCATACTGTCTGTGAGGGTGCAATACTGCCATAAATACTCATATACATATAAGTTCAAAAAATGTCAATTCATGAATCCTCATTATACATTCCAAGCAGAATATTAAATTACTAACAGATTGTCCTACTTCTCTGCAGCAGTCACTATTGTTAGCCTTATTTAATCTGCCTCTCACTGTATTTTTGAGAAGCTTTGTCAAGCACAATGTAGATGTAAGGTGTTATTAATCATTCTGCCTCTCACTGAAAAACTGTTGTGTGCAGCCTTCAATATCAGGAAAGCACTGCTGTTGTTTTCAGTTGTTATATACTTAAGTTATGCGATGTGAAATATCAGTTCTAAGGTGTTTCAAAGTAGTTTAAGTCATGCAGCTTGTTTTTTTTCCTATGTAAGCGCCGTGACTCAACTCTGTATCTGCCCTGAATTATTTAGACTGTTGAACAACGCTGCATCATTGACTGATAATTTTGTAGATTGATACAGTTTTATATCCACCCCACAGCATCTGGATGTGGTCCGAGAAGCCGAGTGAGGCCGCTGGCATGTGATTGTGCTTTTGAAAATTGCAATCCTGTCAGCAGCATCCGAATATGAGGCTCCCGTTGTACGCCCTCTCAGGAGATGGCTGCAGTTCACAGTTCGTACCAGCGCTTTCAAGTGTCAATCATGGCAGCAGATTAGAAGATATCAAAGGTTGCTGTGTCAAACTCCTAATACGGTCATGGCTGGAGGATGCCATTGAGAAACCTCAGGGTGACACAGAGATAATTATATAATTTTTTTTCCTTTAGCCATTTTGTAGATTTTATTCACCAAAAATGGAGATGATTTCCTCATTAATGTGTTTAGGATTTTTTCAGCCTCACTCTCACGCACAGGTTAAATTATGAATGCACTTTTATTTGTTTACTGTGTGTTGAGGCTGAGCAATGTGCATAATTCATCTTGGCTGACAGGAGTGACAACAGAGCAGGGAGAAGCAGCGGGAACAACGTTTGAACAGAATGCAGTCTAACGAGAATATTGTCAAGGATCTAGTTACTCAAGCACATGCAAACACTATAATCGACTTTCTCTCAATGAGCTAACTTTTGCTTGAAAAAAGAAACAAGACTTGCACAGACAGAAACAACTTTAAATGAATCCTGGGCCAAATTGGATCTTGCTTTTTGATGATGTTAATCGTGAGTGCGTGTCCGCTGCAGCCCGGACGGTTTTCCATTACCAGACGTTGTTTTAAATGCATCACAGGGACGGGCTTCTCAAACCTAATTACGTGGCTCTCTGTTTCCTCCGTAGTTCTGAGGGATGATTTCCGCCAGGCCCCCAGTGATGTGGTGGTGGCAGCCGGAGAGCCTGCTGTCCTGGAGTGTGTGCCCCCTAGAGGTCACCCCGAGCCCAGCGTGTCCTGGAAACGCAACAATGCCCGAGTCAGCAGCAAGGATGATCGCATCACAGTGAGTCACCCCACAGTCAGCACTACATTGATTACAGATATATTTTTATACACTGTGTTATGAAAGCCAAGTCATGCTTTTAGAGCAGTCCTGAAATAAAAGCAGATAAGTAGATGACTTATAATTGGAATTTAAGAAAATAAAAACACTTGATGTCAAATGTCACTTTCATCTGATCTACAGACAACATTAATATAATGGCAAGAGACAGTCTCTGCAGCTCTGTGTGCATTTGCTAAAATGAAAAAAATAAATAAATAAATTGTGAATAAAAAGCAAAATTCCTAACAACTGCCTTCACACAGTGATTTATTCAATAATTTCTATTACAGTAAATGCACTATTATAAATAAGAGCTTATTTGAGCCGGTGCTATTGAAGTGGCTGTGGGAAGACATTGTGAATGGAAATATTTTGGCTAAACATGAAGGTTTAAGACAACACGTTTTTAAAGCCTGTTCACCGTATTTGTCTGAAATGAAAGGCACAGAAATTTTAATAAATGAATTAATTTGAATATGAAAAGGGACCATGATTCTTACTGCTTTTTATAGACTTGGTTTTGAGATTTGAGTTGAGTTTGAATGCTCAGATTTTGGACACAGAATAACAGCACACAGATTTTTGTCCAAACTTCTGTCTCTTGCAGATGACAGAACTTAATGCGATGATGTGTTGTTTTTGTGTTACCAACTGAGCTGCAGGATTGTCTCTTCTCCACTCAAAGTGTTGCTCGCGGCTGGACTAAAGTTTGATTTTTGGTTTAGAGGAATCGGAAACTTACCATAGTATTTACACAGTGAAGTTGGGCCAATAAAAACACATTTCATCTGCTATACAGAAAAAGAGGTTTTTGTTTTGGAGTACTGCACTAGTCATGCTGTGAAATGGGCTCAATAATAGTAGTATTTTTAACACTTTAATTATTTTGTTGTTTATATTTCTCTTTATCACTGAAAATGTTGTGCCTCCTGCTTGAGTTGTCATTACTTTACTTGAATGACATTAAGCTTATCTATCTCCATGGAAAATAGTAATAGATGCAGCCAGACCAAGTTACTGGTTAGATCTGTGGAGAGGCAACCTTACTCACTGAAAGAATACATTTTTTTCAAGGTATTAATGAGCTATACAAACACCCATAATGTAATTAGTGTAAAATATCTTTAATGTTATACTAGGGCAGATACACCAATAATATCTCCACAGAGACAAGCAAGTGATGTGCCCTTCACCAGAAAAACTGCAGTGTACTTTTAAATGTCCTTTTACTTTTTGGCTCTACTACAGCAAGTATGAATAAGATGTTCTTTTGTTTAGATGCGTGGTGGAAAGCTGATGATTTCTCAGACCAGAAAGAGTGATGCTGGGATGTACGTGTGCGTGGGCACCAATATGGTCGGAGAGAGGGACAGCGATCCTGCCGAGCTCGTGGTTTATGGTGGAGTCCCTCAGTTTCATTCATATTCTGCAAATGCAAAGAGATTCAATTACACTACAGCTTTATAATGTACATGTGCATATCACAGAGCGGCCTGTGCTGGTTAGGAGACCCGTGAACCAGGTGGTGATGGAGGAGGAGAACGTGGACTTCCTGTGTGAAGTGCACGGAGACCCGCCCCCAACAGTGAGGTGGAGGCGGGACGAAGGAGAGTTGCCCCGCGGGAGGTGAGTCCAATAGTGAAATGGCCTTCTTACAGTGGAGGATTGTGTGACCTAGAAAACTTGGGCAGAGTGCTTGTTAATTATTTCATGCCGTTCTATCATTTATTACCAGGCAGACCCCCATGTGGCCACTTCATGGGTTCTTCCACGTCTAAAGTGAAGATAATGTGTGTGTGTGTTTATGCTTGTGCACTTGTTAAATAATTATGATCTCTTTAAGAACTCAGGCTGTTTCATTTTAAATGACCGAGCACATGATATAATGTGTTCTGAGCTAAGTATATAAACATTCAACGTCTCCATTCAATTGTTGTGTACTGCATGTTGGCACTGAGTAAGTAATTTGTATAAGTAAAACTTTTTGATCAGTAAATTGACTTTGTAAAAGCAGAATAATAGAATTTAACACCAAAATCTTGTACAGCATGTATATTTAACTTAGACTTAGACTTAAACAAACCTTATTGATCCACAGGGGAAACTATTTGGACAGAGCACACATCACAATAAATACAATGACAAAGAGCAAAAATGTAAATGTAATAATATAAAAATATTAATGTAATAATAAATGCAGAATGAGTAGCAAAGATAGCAAGAGACTGGTGTCAAATAAGGCATAAATACATGAATATGTACAGTGCATTGTTTTGGTGTATGGTAATCTGTGAACTAGAATGAATTCCAAGCTGAATACCATAGGCACTGGCAGATTCCAGCAATTGGCAGATTTTTTGGGTTTCAAAACAAAAATGGTATTTTTCTCATTTTCTCTTCTTTGTTGACAGTGTTTTATGTTATGTTTATTGGCGCTACAGAAAGATATGTTCTCTAAATCAAGACCTCACTGAGATACTGTAATCGATTCACTGCCGTTTCACTATCTGCTTTAAACTGTCCTGAGGCTGATCCCGATAAGGTTCATTGTTCCAGTTTTGTGATATCTCGCTTAAGTGTAAAAGACAGCTACAGGTTGATTGACAGTGAGACAAACTAAATTATCCCGTACAGCTGTTTGATTTTCTTTGTAGATTAATGCAGTGTTTTTACGCTTTGCCTCTCTGATAGATCTTTCATTATCTCTCCTTTCCTCGCTTCCAGGTTCGAGATCCGCAATGGTAACAATCTGCGTCTGTTCCGCGTGAAGGAGCAGGACGAAGGCACCTACACCTGCACATCTGAGAACAGTGTGGGCAAGACAGAGGCTTCGGCCATGCTGCAAGTTCACGGTGAGACAAACACTTCATGCATATTGCATTTTAACTTCAGGGAAATTCACTGCGCGCATACACTCAGCACCCAGCCGTACAGGACACAACCCCATGTAAAAAATAGGGCTGCATCATAGTTTTCAGCAGATGCAGTAATGTCAAGGAATTTTACTTACGTGTGTTTTGAAGCCACATTTCTACTTCCAATATGTAGAAGTGATTGCTGACTCAAATCTTATTATATTACATGTATCTAAAAATAAGACAAAAATGACTCTGACTCAGACATGCGTGAAAACCACTCACTATTCTTACACAAAGTTACACACTGCAGAGTCGCATGGTACAAAGACGACATTCCTATTTCCTGTCCTGTTTGTATCAGTGGTTGGGTGCAGTGGTGCTGTCAGGAGCTTATGCTAAACCGTATGGATTACTCAGTTTGACAGATGTTTGGGAGATGTGCGCCCTAACTCAGTGCCAGAGAGCGGCAGCTGTATTAATAAGGCATGACTCTCTGCCTCTTTATCTGTCTCCTCTCATGCATGTTGTTCTGTGTGTTCAGCTCCAGTGGTGACATGCACAGTCAGATTTTCTACATTTATTCACTGTGTAGAGCATGTTCTATAGAAAAATTGTTTCATTCAGTTGGAAACTAAATGTCAGAAAAAATGTGGAGAGAATTTTAAAAGAAGGGAATCGGCAAAAACTATTAAAACTGTTAAAAAAAATCAAATGGCAAATGGTCACATTGTGTACACAGACACCATGGGCAAGGTGGGTTAAATGTCTTGCCCAAGGACACAACAACAGCATTCATCTGTGGGAGCTGGAATCACACCAACAATCTATGGTGTGGTTAGAACTGTATAATAATATTATACTGGATCAGTTTTGTGTTACACATTTTGGGACCCTCAGGTTCCCCTCCATTTGTTATTATTCAGAAGTCCAGAGATTTTGGTTAGTGGGTAAACAGGTATCCCTGCTGACTCTTTGTTGTTCATAAACAGCTCACAAAAGCTAGTATGTTTTGTGCTAGTTCCAAGGTCAGAGTTGAAGTTTTAGTTTGTTCATGTTGAGAAATAATGACACCCCAAACAGGATATTTTGTTGTTTGCAGAGGGAATTTTAATACATAAATAATAGCAGCATTTTACGTTTTGCAAATTGCAGTTTCTGTTTAATTAATCTTGCAGTCCTACTTTCCTGTCTCTTTGGGCGTTTGGTCTCTGTATAAGTTCATGTTTGTTTGTTCCCTGTAGTGACCACATGTGCTCATACTTACGCATCCTCCAAAGGTGTCTCTAATGGGTTTGAAATCTGTAATCGCTGTCTAATGATGTGGAGCGCTTCCATTAGGGGCCTGGATGTAAATGACATTGCTGTTGCCGCAGTCACGCATTAAATAAGCCACAGCAACTTAATGTATGTCTGATTAAAAACATATCAGACGCACATTTGCTGTGAAGGAGTGCCGGAGGAGAGTGATATATGTAAACAACAGGGGAGCAGCTCTGTCAGTATTATAAGAGAGACGATACTGTTCCTATTCTTTTTTTATTTATTTTGCTTGTATTTATTTATGTCATATCTGTTCATGGTTATAGTCATAATTTTAACCAAAATGTAAATGTACAACGTAAACATCATTGCATTTGTAAGTGTGAGTTCTCTTGTTGTTCAGAACACACAAGTAGGAACATCTCCACACCACAGATGAGTCAGCTGCTCCCATACATGTTGAGGCAAATTGTTTTGACACGCATGTTCTTTATACAAACTATGGATTTAAAAGTAATGTTTCGTCATAGTTATTTTATGCATAGGAGTGGGCAATATGGATCTACTATTCAAAATATTTTTGAGCAAGTCCTATTTAAATGTGCTAAAATATGTCTTTAAAGGTGCACTGCATAACATGTTTAGTGTCCGCTACCTGCTTGTCTCTATGGAAATGTTATTGCTTTGTCTAGAATGTTCCACAGTATAGATTAAAACTATTTATAACAAGGGAGACAATTTGGTTACAGCACTACACTACATTACAATTTAGATTTGTGGAGAGTCGCCTGTATTCACGGAAGGAATTATTGTATTTTTGAGCAATAGAAACACCCATAATGAATAAACGCTGGATATATTTCATCTCGTACCATGGAACATTCCAAGGAAAGCAATAACATCTCCATGGGGATAAGTAGGTAGCTGGCCCTCCCCCAGAAAAGTTGCACAGTGCACCTTTAAATGTAGGTAAAATAATCCACAAAAGTGCAGAAATGTCACTTTGTACTGATATTGATGATTCAGTATATTGCCCACTTCTATGTAACAGTAGTCATCATGCTCAAAAGAAAACATCAGATAGTTTGTTGCTGGTTAAGTGCGAGACGTTTTTTTGGGACATGCTCTTTGAGTGAGAACATTACGACTCCACGGATGAGTCAGCTCCCTCGTGTGTTGAGCCAAATTTCTTGGTGCAGTCAAGTGTGAGTGTGCTCCTGCATTTGTGGAGGGGTCAATTTGGGCTACAGCCACTGCTGCACCGCCCCTAGTGCAAACGGGACACTCTGGGCCCAACGCAGCCAGCCCATGGTCAGTGTAAATCTAATGCACCCATGTGGAAATTGGCATCTCTGGCCGGGCTTTGTCTAAAAATAACTCACCAAATGTCACGAGAATGGCAGCCCCTTCGAACCAGGATGATTAGTTTTCTTACAGAGGACACAGAGGTGAAGATGAGAGAGGTGATGAAATATACAGTATAGTGATAGATCAAAAAGTACAGAAGGTTAAAGCGACGCCCAAAGCATCAAGCATGTGAAGGCCATCGTTGAATAATATAGTGTTACATAGGAGAGCTGGTATTGATCCAAGTACGCTTTTGGCTACAACTGTGCATATGATGAATAGACTTTTTTGTTCTGCTTACAGTCCCACCCCAGATCACCTCAAAACCCAGAGACCAGATAGCGACCCAGGGGAGGAGCATCTCGTTCCAGTGTGGCACCACAGGCAACCCCCCACCCGCCATTTTCTGGCAGAAAGAGGGCAGCCAGGTGAGCGGCTCGGGACAACAGGTCTTCACTACAGCTGTTAATGCAGTGAAAGAAGTAGGACGGAATAGATTTACTCAAAGCAAAACACTACATTTTGTTCTCTCTCATGCATAAGTAGTTCTCCTTTGTGCCAAAGTAACAGCAAAAACAACCTTTAAATGATTGTAAACAAGTAAACAACTGACTGACTTAAATAACTGATTAACTGTCATGTAAAGCATACACATTTTTGAATGAAAATACTGTAAAAATGCTTGCCTGAGATCCTGCATTGAAAACACAGAGGGATATCATTCTGGATTTGATAGGCAAGTAGAAATGCTACTAAAATTAAGTAAATTATTTGAAGGTCAATTAAACCTGTTTCCATAGTGAATCATTTGAAATTTGATCTATTGTATGGTTGCTTGAGTAATCCTTTATTGTCCAGCTCACAAAATGCATGCTTTCACCTACCCCCTACCCCCTGAAGACTCATACATGTTGGGTTCTAAAATGTCACTATGTTTTTTTTTCAAAAACTTGTAAATGACAATCTGCTGCTTGCTACGGTGAGATGCTGATCCCATTTCTATATTATGTTGTTTTGGGTCAATATGAAAAATTATGATAATCTACTCATAGTTGAATATTAAGTGTCTAAAGAAACTATCTTCTTTAAGTTTAAGTAAACAGAACTCTTTTTTTACTTTCACGTCTGCGTTTATGAAATATGCGTGCGTAGGATCATTCATGCAGATTAGTATGAAACCGGATATTTTTGTCTTATAGAGTGGATTTATTTTTGCTTAAAGGATCGCACCTACACTGCTCTGTTTACCATAAGAATAAGGAATTCACCACCGTTTGGATTGAAGATGAGAATGACTCACTGAAATATGAACAGGTTTTGTCTGATCCGATCATACTTTTCTTCTGACACCTTTTGGAGTTAGCCCACACTCTCACACACACTCCAATCGCGAGAGGCGTACGAGTAAGTGCAGCAGTTGCATTTGCATTTGGCTGAGATAACTGTGCAGACAATGTGTTGGAAGACATTGCAGGACTGTGTTGGCAAGCAATGCCTTTCCCACTTGTGCTGAGAATAGTGGGTAGAAATTAGGATGGAAACAGCAATAGTTGAGTAATTACTTGTTACGTTTTAGTGATTTTACTTCTTATTGAGTGTTATTTCATATGTAAACTATTATCTGTTGCACCTTAGGCCTGTCACAGTAAAAAACAAAAAAATAAGTATGATATATTGCTGAAGAAAATATAGATGATTAACAATTATATTCAAACTAATTTATGCAAATGGTACAATAACCCTAAAGCAGGATTATTCATCCCAAAATACCGTGTTGTACTGAATCTCACTGGGACCTTCAGGTAAATAAAAAAAAAAAGGTAAAGGTAAAAAAATAAATAAAGGTAAATTAAATGAAGTCATATAGAGATACAAAATGTAAAATATTGATATTTTTCTAGTCTTAAATGTTTGTTTTTGTTTTCCAGTGTTTAATACAAGTACACATATGATTTTAACCCCTGACAATTTTTGTTGGATATGTTGTTTATACAGGCTTGTATTATAATACTATACTATGTAATAGTAATGTGTATATGCCAAGGAAGCAGGCAGCAGACCAGGTGTGGATGATTCTTCAGGGTAAACCCATAGAAAACACTGGCCCGCTTCTACACTGTCCCTCACTATAAATAGCCTGTTGACCTAACACAGCAGCTGGGATGAAGACTTGAAATGACTTAAAAACTCAAAACAGTCTAAGCACACATTTTTCTGAATAAGCATCTCCACAGGACAGCCAGGCTTGGCTTTGCTGTTTGCAGAGCTTTTTGCTGTAGTTGTAGGATTATCTGTCGCCCTGTAACCTTGGTCTCTCCACTCAAGTCTAAGCCTCTTATGAGAATGAAATAGATGGCTGAATGACAGTGTGCAGCCCTCCCCTGTGTTGTTCCCATCCTCTCACTTACACAAACATAGCGCCAAAGCGAGTCAGTGAACTTGAAGCTAACAAAACTCTTTCTTCCACTGTTTTAATTATAAAATGATTTGGGGAAAAAACATTTAGTATTGTAGCCTTAGACAGTTGGTGCAAAGAAATCTTTTCAGGACAGGCCTCTCTGCTATCACTTCCTTGAATTAAATTAATTGATGTGATCTGTTAATAGTGAAATGAACACATTTGGGTTTTGCAAAGAGATAAGCTGCTAATTTAGAGTTGTTAGAATTGCAATTACAATTTTGGTGTGCAGTCTTTTCCATTTTATTGCCCATTCAAATTAAAACAATTTAACTGATAAAATTCCTTCTCTGTGCTTCAGTTGTTGCTGTTCCCTGGCCAGCCGCCCTCACAATCTGGTCGCTACTCTGTGTCTATGAGCGGAGAGCTAACTATCAGCGACGTCCACCCTGAAGACTCAGGCTTCTACATCTGCCAGGCGATAAGTGTGGCAGGGAGCGTACTGACCAAGGCCCTGCTCGAAGTGGAAGGAGGTGAGACTTTGTCCAGTCATTGCTAAAAGATTTTTTCTTTATTCAGACCTGCTGGCTAATGAGCGGAAACCATTGTAATGACTTTGTTTGGAGCATATCAATGAGGCTTGCAGACCTGAGCTGTTAGACACCGTATACTGGATGAGCTATGGGCACGAGCTTAATGTTTTCTGTAGTCAGGGAGCTTGTAATCAGAAGATTTAGAACTATGCATGTGTCACCTATTGTTTTCTGTCTACTAAGCATTGCGGCAGTAGGATGTTTAATGTTTATTGCTTTTATCCAGTTTTTAGCATCTAATGTTTCTTTTTGCTTTATAGAAAGATATTATTAATAATAATAATAATAATAATAATAATAATAATAATAATAATAATAATACATTTTATTTATATAGCACTTTTCTAAATACACAAAGACACTGTACAAAGAATACAATTAAAAAGAGTACTGGTACATATTTAAAAAAAACAAACAAAACAAGGTAGTGAGACAAAATATAGGCATTATTTAAAAGCATTTACTACTGTTGATGACTAGACTCAGGATCCATCATATCGAAACCTTATTGATTGTACATCATAATAATGCTACTGCTACAAAATCATTTGAACTGTCACAATAATCGAATCATAAATGCTGCAGTTAACTTTATAGAAAGTAAACAAAAAAAAACTTGCAAACCTTGTAGTTTTGACCTCTACAAAGATGAAATGAAATGTATTGAATTCTTGTTAATTGGTTAAGTGGTTCATATTTCTTCTTCTCTCAAAAAAATATGCTCTTGGATTTAGAAAATGTTCAGTGTCAACAAACATTTCAAAAAAGTCTGAAATTCTGTCAATGTCAGTGAGGTAAATTGTACTGTATGCATCGAACAAAATACTTAGCATAATTAGCAAATAGTTTTCGTATAGTTAGCATAGTTTTTACTTATCGTATTTTTTGGACTAGAAGTCGCTCTGGAGTACAATTTGCACCAGCCAAAAAATGCGTAATGAAGAAGAAATTTATTTTATAAAATCAGAGATCAGGAACCGACATTTCATATCCAAAGGCAAGTTATAGTAATGACAATAGACTAAAGAACAACAGGCTGTTAACGTCACATATTAAGAGATATTCAGATAACTATAACATAAACGACAGAAAAAGTTTACCAAACTCTCCATCTCACTCCAAATCACTTCATTCTTCATCCTTGGTGTCACTTCTGAGCAACTCCGTGACTTTCGGAGGAAACAGAGCGCTGCTTCCTCTTCTGTGTAGTTGTCAGTCTCAGCATCAGTTCCAGTTAGAATTATTCCGGCCTTTCTGAATCCCGACAGGATGGTTTCCGTTGTCACTGATGTCACTTAAATTTTAAATTTTCAGTGGTACAGAAGTAATGGTGCGATCGACTGACATGATACAGACAAGACAGCGGCTCTTTTTGCAGGAAACATGCACAGTGGAATGAAGTGACAGTGGTACAGGAGTAATAGTAGTAGCAGATAAGCCTAGAGCGCCCTCTCGCGGCTGTCAGTGTGAGAATTTTAATATATAAGTCGCACCGGAGTATAAGTTGCAGGACCACCCAAACCATGAAAAAAGGTGCGAGTTACACCCCGAAAAATACGATACTTGACATCCCCTGTGTTGTGTCCTCTTCCCCTTAGGTCCCTCTGGCCGTGTACCTCCCATCATTCGCCAAGGCCCGGCCAATCAGACGGTGTCTCAAGGTTCGAGTGTTCAACTGCACTGCCGCATCATTGCCGGCTCCTCTGTCAAAATTTCCTGGGAGAAGGATGGGCAGACACTTCAGGGGAAGAAAACTCGCCTGACCTTGATGGAAAATGGCACACTGCAAATAACAAACATAAAGGTGGGTGTGTGTGTGTATATGTATGTGTGTGTGTTTGGCTTAAGTGGAACTCATTTATCGAAAAGGGCATAAAAAGACTTCTGAAAAGCATTTGGGCTTAAATAGAAATGGTTCACACTGTGCCGCATAATATGGTAAACAGTTCTGCCTGACCTTCTTTCACTGACATCTACACTTTTCTGTTATATATTTTCTTTGTGAAAGGTGAGACTGAATTTTAAGGAATCTCTCTTGTGAGAATATGAGTTCATGTGGTGTGTAATTGAAGTGTAAATGAATGGGTATGTGTATGAATGCTAATGCGTTCTGAATTGATGGTAGAGATGGAGGAAGTTCTAATAATTAAATCACAAAATTAAAATATGATTGAATGGTAATTGTATTTATGAAAGAAAGCAAAATACATTTGTTACCACTACAACCAAAATTTACCCAAAGGTACTGGCAATATTACATAATGCCTCTGCCCATTAGATGTGGGGCGATGATCAAAATGTTGATAAGACTGTGAATCTTGTTTATTAGATATGAAAAATTTTAATATCAAGTATATTGTTTACAAAAATAAGTTATAACAAAATGCTGCAACAAGAGCTAAATATTGTTAACTTCCAAATAGCTGTATAAAGTTAAGTTTCTGCACTTTTATTGATAATTTTACAGTTTTTCACATTTGTCTGAGACGAGGGCAACAGTAGCTCAGTAGTAGAGTGTTTGTCCACTGATGCGAATGTTGGTAGTTTCAATCCCGCTCTCAGGTTGGTGGTGTGATTCCAGATTCCACAGATAAATACTGTCATTGTGTCCTTGGGCAAGACATCTAACCCACTTTGAGAGTCTGCGTATGCTGGTGTATGAATGCGTGTGGATGAGTGGTTCCTTGATGCGCTTTGTGGACTTTGAAGGTAGAAATGGACTAGAGGTAGACGGATTGACCATTTAAACCTCAGCTAATACATTTTAAGACATTCCTGTTGAACTGACACATTATTGTCTCCCCAAAATAATCAGTTTTTGTCAATATAGCCCACTCCTAGTAACCACCCATTAGCAATAGTCAAACTCATTTTGAGACATAAATACACATGTTAAAATTATATTATGTCCTATGTAAAACCAATAGTTAATTTCTATGTCTTGATGAGAGCCCAGTGACCGCCCATCTAAGGTTCAGCAGCCACACAAGGGACAACGCAAAGTCAGCATCATTTATGTAATTGATGCCAAATCATTACTTGGTTTTTAATTAAAAACTCTTGCATGACGTATGTGCTTACTGGCCTCCTCTGTCACACTGCACTGTCCTCATCAGTGGATACAAACTTGCAGCATTAAGCTTTGGTCCAGTGCACTGGAGAGGCGGAGGAAATCTGCCATGCCAATGTGTTCAATGGAACAGAAGACATGCATTAGTGTGACATGAGGGGCGGCGAGCTGGAGAAGAAATGGAGATGACGAGCGAGGGACTAAAAATATTTAGCCTTCCACTGCCCCTACCGCTATCAATATTTCAGCTACAGCAGTCTTCAGCTAAGGAAGTTCACCTGGCCACACGCTGCGCTGCCGGTCTGTCAGCCAGAGGTCATCGCTGCAGAGGATGATCTCATAAGGGCCGATGAGAGACTGAGCCAGAACCAGCCTGAGTTAGCGCCAGGGCCTGCGTATGCTTTATAGTACAGAGCAGAAGGGCAGGTGCTGCGTGCTGCACTGCTCTGTGGTTTGGAGCAATGAGGCTCCAGCAGCAGCTTGGCCCAAGGTTATTTGTCAGTGTACTCTTCGTAGTTGAATGCCACTGTATAATGCACTGACTTTTTAGAAGAGCTTCACTTTTGTACTTCACTATAATTCAACAAATGTTTTTTCATATCTCTCTTTTCAGGACTCTGATTCTGGGGTGTATACATGTGTAGTGTCCAGTCCTACAGGGGAGTCGACCTGGAGTGGGGTCTTGACTGTTAAAGGTACTATTAATATCATATTATACGTACAATAGCAAATATCATTTATTAGTATTGTCTTGTACCATCATCATCTTTATTAGTGCAAAATATAAACATTTAAATGTCATAAATGTTGATTGAAATAGTCAAATGTAGCTTTCCTTAACTTATACACCACTTTTGTTCCAGAAAAGGGGATTTCATCAGTGCCCAGAGCATCTGAGTTCATCCAGCTTCCCGGACCGCCACAGAAGCCCATAGTGACAGAGGTGACCAAGCACACAGTGACTCTCACCTGGCAGTCCAACCCACACGAAGGGGGCGCTGCTGTCACCTCTTACATCATTGAAGCTTTCAGGTGAACCTCCCACACATGAGACTGTCTAAAGGCTCCGTGCCCATTCCTTCCCATGTATTTGAGTAAATATAAATATGTCTTACCCCGTTACAGAGATATTGTATAAGTAGCTCTTGAGGTCAAAATAAGTTGGCTGCGTGGTGTCTACATTTTAAGTAGAAAGCATTTTATTGTCCGATAATCAGGAATCAGGCACGTTAGCATGCTAGTTGTTGTTGGCTTTACATCATGGGAACATGCACTGGTCTCTGAGAGTTGTGAAAAGCACATGTGAACTCCCTGTGGGGACTATTTAGGATGATTGTTGTGTGTGTGAATAACTTTAGACCACCACAAATCATTTGAATTTGTTTTATTGTTTCGATGTATGAGGTATTCATATTTTGTGAAGCACTTTGTAACTAGTTTTTGAAACGTGTGCTTCAAGTGAAGTTGTTATTGGCCCGAGCCTATAACAGAGTAACTGGCGAGGTCTGTTCTTCTTCGCCCGTTTCTTCTTCTCTCTTATTATTGTTCCTTGCAAACAATCGTGATTTTGAGGGCCTAAACGTATGGGATTGACCAGTCTGGTGAAAAATTTGATAAAATGGACATCGCGACAATGCCCAAAGTGACCCAACTCAACAGTGCTGCCTAGAAGTGGATCTTTATGGGAGTGGAGACAAGCAAAGTAGGTGAACTAAATTCAGAACAGTAATGGCAAATAATAAGACAAGCCAAAAGTTGAATAGGCGCCTACCCCTATGATGGACAGAAAGTTGGCCATATTGGATTAAAAAATTCTCAATTCTCAAGACTACAATTGATCATAATTATTATAATATGTTATAATCATAATATACTGCAAAGACACTTTGGCAACAAACCATCAACCTTTGAATAGATATTAAGTACTGTGTATATGATGTGCAATAAATTGCGATGCAAACTACGTTTTCTGTAGGTTTAGCTCATGAGGCTGCTCTTCTGGCTTTGACAGTCACTCCTGCCTGTTTCTGAAACCTCTGTTCACAATCCACGTGTTTAGTGTCTGTTTCGTGGTTGGAGTAAGTTTGAAAGTCCGTGTAGAAGCACTTTCTGCCCCTCTCAAGCTGTGTTCAGGCAGCAAGTGTCTGGCGTGAACAAATCGCATCAAATGCCCCTAGTTTTCCTTCTTGACTTTTTTGAGTCATTCGCTTTATTTGTGCATCCAGGAGGCTCGAGTTTGGGAATTTGGTCCAATCTATTCACTGTGTTCGCTCCAGAAGGATCAACTGCGGCTGTACAGTGTGCTGTTTTTATTTTGAAAAAACTTGGAATCAAGTGGGTTACAATGCTTTATTTAATGTGGAGGCAATGTGAACCAGTGAATGCCCAGCGCCGTTTTTGGGTTCACCCAATCCTCCAGCAGACTGAGACAGGGACCAGACAAGGACCAGACCGGGACTGAGACCAGGACTGAGACCGGGACAAGACTGGGCCTGAGATCGGGACCAGGACCAGGATTGAGACCAGGACCAGACTGGGACTGAGACTGGGACCAGACCAGACCTATTTATGCATTTTATTGGTGGGTCACTATCAACAGAAATTAGAAATCGTACTATTATTATGATTTAACACAAAAAATGCAGCACTAGCTATCTGTTAGGGTTAGGTCAGCATTTATGCATCTGTGTATTGTCTGTAATATATGTATTACATAATACATCATATATATAAGTATATATTGCTTTTTTTTTTTTTTTTATTCTATTAGTGATTTGTCAGTTGTTCATCCTATCCTTGGTTTTACACTATAGTGCCCCAAACTATAGAGATGACATGTCAACATTATCAGATTTGTGCCATATTTGGGGAATAAATTCTATCCATGACTATGCGCAAAAAATTATATTATGGACATGGGGAATTTTCCATGGTTGACCAGCAGGTGTGCAAATATTAAAAAAACAAAGGGGCCCTGTGTAATTTTTGTGATGAAGGTTCTGTGGATCTGGGCAGCTGTCATAACATGCCGGGCGGTCACCTGCGAGTGGCGTGGGCCTGGGTCAGGGCCATCCTCGCCCCAGGCGGCTTTAATTGTTATTAATATAATTTAAAATGAACTAGTTCTGTTTTTTCATGTTTAACAATTTAAAAGTGGCTTTAATTATTATATTAGATAAACAAACCTCTACTCTTGTATTTTGTGACATGTTCTTCTGACTGCATTCAAAACAGTTTGTGCTCTCGCCTCTCAGCATGGAGCTACTGTGACTGTCCAAAGACTTTTTAAACTGCAGTTGCAGCAGTTTATGTGTCTTAGTAAGCTGTTACAGTTTCAGTCCTATTGAACACAGTTAAAAGAAAATCTAGAATTCTAGAAATTGTACACTTACTTTATTATTTATGAGCTATTATAGACCCATTTGCTGCTGTATCCTGAAAAGAGCCATTGCAGTCCCAACACCCACCTAAAGTGAGGCAAGTAAAAAGCTTGTACTGCAGTGGTCAGCTGGCACCTTCACCTTGTCCTTAGTCGATGGGAGGAGGAAACTCTGGCCCAGTTGGAAAGTCCACTTATTCCCCCAGTAGACAAATTAGACCAAGATGAGTGTGTGACGAAACAAAAGCGGCCACATGCTGTACTCACAAGTGTGTTTAGGGTCACCAAAGTGCCATAGCAGGTTTCAATAAAACACTAGCTTACCACATAGTAGAACCATGTCCCAGAGAATGCATTTTTGTTACAATATCAGTGGTAGCCGAGTTTAAATGGGTTGGGTAGTGTCAGGATAACAAAGTTGGGTATATTGCTGAAAGAAATATAGACAATAAAGGATAATATTGAGACCAATTTATGCCACTGACACAATTATCCTAAAACAGGATGCCCAAAAACTCTTCTAAACATATAATATCATTAAAAAAAAGCAAATTGCAATAAATAAATAGCAGAATGAAACACTTTAGGAGTTAGTTTGTATCTTTAAAGAGTTAAACAAGTTATTTATTCAACCCTCTATGGCTCAGATCTAATGAGAGAAAAGGGAAAATAACAAAAACCTCCCTACTAATACTAAGAAAAAGTAAATACATATTGATTGATTTATTCATATAGTAAAGCCCAGATGTTTATGTAGCATTGCCATCACAATGAATATGTGAAGACCATTATGTGAAATATGTATAAAGATTTGTCAAATGCAGAGGACAAATTCCCTTATAGGGGACAATAAAGGCTAACTTAACCTATGTTGGTTAAACAGAACAATTCTTCTTTATCACTTTGTCTCAGTGGTGAATGTACCTCTATGAGCTGATATCATCATTCATGTGTGCTATGCTCTCTGAACCTTTTGAGGTGACATTGAGGTGAAATGAATAAATGTTTCTCTGAAATACTAAGAGATAAAACCAACATATTCATCAGGAGCAACTTTGAAATGTGTATGGGCCTAACAGTGACTAGCCTCAGTGAGTAGGAGGTTATAAGGACGTACAGAAAGACCAATGTAGGTGTGTAAAATATTCATTTTTACATTTTTTGCACAAATTTGTATATAATATGGCATTATAAATATAGAGATTTTAATCAAAATACTTAAAGGTGCATTGTGTAAGTTTGATGGTCGAGGGTCTGTCAAACACTTTTCTCCGTGGAGTTGTTTTTGCTTTGTCTGGAATGTTTCACGGTATGGTATTAAACCTTTACATCTTCATGGAGACCAGACCAGACCAAGTTACAGGTCTGATCTGTGGAGAGGTAGCACCACTCACAGTCAGAATGACAGTTTTATAGGTATGTTTAAACTATAAAGCCACCTGTAACTGAATAAATGTAAGGTAAATCTGTTTAATGTCACACTGCAGAACATTCAGGTGACGGACCCCAACCAAAAAGTTACTTAGTGCACCTTTAAGTGAAAACATTTTACTAATATTGTTTTTTTCCCTGTTTTCTACAGCCAGTCAGTGGGAAGCACCTGGCAGACAGTTGCAGACCATGTGAGACAGGAGAGGCACACAGTAGTTGGACTTCTTCCCAACACAGTGTATCTTTTCATCGTAAGAGCCGTCAACTCCTATGGCCTCAGTGACCCCAGCCCCATCTCCGAGCCAGTCAGGACACAAGGTAAAATGTACTTGGTATACTTTGTAGTTTTCTGTTTTTCTTATTTGAAGATAGTAGATAGTATGTGCTGCTACTGCTGAAACAAAGATTATGTTGAGGGGAAAAATGATTTGCATGTGAAGTTTCAAAACTAATTGCTTTCTCAGTGTGATACCCTTTCTGCCCTAAGCGATGTTGAATTTCATCAAAGAGTTCTCCATTCTCTATTTTTTGCTGGTTTGGTGCTTCTTCAACTGTTCAAATTGGAAACATTGTTCTTTTAGATGGGAGCCCCACAGAACAGGGCGTGGACCACAGACAGGTGCAGCGGGAATTAGGAGAGGTGTCGATCTACCTGCAGAAGCCTGTGGTGCTATCTCCAAACTCTGCCAGGATTTCTTGGACAGTGAGTCAAGTACTTGGCTGGGTAAAAATACATACATTGAACTTGGCATACACTTGAAGGGCACACTAATCTCCATACCCAGAAATGGGTTATCTTTACTGCACAGTAATTTGAGGAGGGCAGATGATTGATAATATTGTGAATATTGTTTTGAAGATATCCACAAATTAAATTTTTCATCATTTATAATTTTAGCTGATTAGAGCTGATTGAAAATAGGGAAACATATCAATTTGTTATCCAATTAAGGACCTGAAAGTAATAAAACTAAAACTAATACATTCAACTACAAGTTTTAACATATTTCTGTTAGATTAGCCTAATAGCATCTGTATATTGTCATAAGGCAAAAAATATTGAAATTTATATTACATTTTTGTGAATATTCTTCACCCCGAACAATAATGGCTTGGTATAATATGTAACTAACTATGGTCATTACATAATTGTTATAAATGTTATAAATCTGTCTTTCTTTCTTATTTTATGGTGATGAAATATATACTTACCCTACCCCAGTATGAAGAAAATAGAAAATATTGTCAGTATTTTCTTGTTCATCATAGTGTAAAGGGGCTGCCAAATGCAGTTATCACTCTTTATCCCAGTTACAGTGCTATTTACATCCATATTCCCAAGATGCCACAAAATAATACATGTTAATTTGATTTTTTACAGGTTGCCCATCAGTCTCGCTACGTTCAGGGTTACAGGATATTTTACCGCTCCATTGGCAGCTCTTGGCTCGTTCAGGATGTAGAGGCCACTTCAGACCAGAGTGCTGTCTTGGTAGATCTCCATCCAAGTCGAGATTATGAGGTGAAAATACGACCTTACTTCAATGAGCTACAGGGTCACGACAGCCTCATGATTCTACTGCGCACACCTGACGAGGGTAAGCAAAGCCCTGGTGTTTATCTCACTAAACACTGTGTTAATACTAGCAAGAGGACCAAGAGTAGACTCTATGTTTGCTCATGCTATATTATATCACTGTCTAATAATATGTGTCCTCTTTCACTGTACACATACATCTTATCTTATTAAAGGTGCACTGTGTAACTTTTCTGACGGGGTTCGGTGTAGTAATGTTTCTTTCCCTGGAATGTTTCACAGTATGACATTAAATCTAACTATCTAAAATTTATTTAAATGAAGCTGATTTTATTGCTAAAAAAAATACCTTGAAAAACTGTGTATGGGGTCGCCTCGCCACAGATCTGACCTGTAACTTGGCCTGGTGGTATCATCTGCGTGTTTCCATGCAGACATACTGTTAAAGTTTCTAGGCAACACAATAACATCTCCCTCCACTGAAAAAGTTACACAGTGCACCTTTAACAAACATAAAATATAAAGCAAAATAAATATTCTATATATTTTTATGCATTGAACCAAATTTCACACTTTTATATCAATTCAAAATGGAGAGCTCTTTTGTATGTCTGCAGTGTTAAGTGGGCCTCCCGAGGCTGTCTCAGTGGTCCAGCTCACCAACAGCTCTAGCATCAGCGTTTCCTGGGAGCCTCCAGCTCATAACGTCCAAAGCGGCATTGTCCGTGAGTACAAGGTGAGACTACCTTCAGATTAGCTCTATTCTCCCTTCTTCTATTTGGAAGATATTCATTTCTGTGTGTATGCTCAGTCAGTGTCATTAAGTGCAAATTAGTATTCAGTCGTTGCTCAGTTCGGCGCTAATTTGCTGTTTTGATAATACTGAATTAACAATTTGTAAATGCTTGTATTTTGTTGCCAATACATGTGCTACTGCCAAACACTCAGTGGTGATATCCAAATCTCGTCTAAAGGCTGACTGTCCTTATCATCTGTTGGTGAAAAAACTGTCACTTCTGATTGTCTTCGTATGAACACAACACTGATTACTAATCATGGAGCTGCTATTCCAGAGGAAAATCAAAACATGCCAAAATGCTATGTTGTTTTAATTTTTCTTCCCATCTGCGGTAGTCAAGCCGAGAAAAATGACTAAGGGGCACATGAAGGATCCAATATACACAATTTGGAGCATGTGATTGTTATATTAATATCAAGAATATCTATAACAGAATACAAGATAAATGTGTATTTTTATCCCCAGTTAGTGTATGAGAACTTGGGGTTCCAAAAGCTAGCAAACTCTCACAAATGAAAAGGAATATTTTTCTTAAGATGCCAGTCATTGTAGCCTTCTATTGTATTGCACATAATAGCATTTGTAGCATAGTTTCACTCTACTTGCAGTGTTGTGTCTTATTGTATTATCATTATTTTTACTAAATTTTCTATCAGTAAATGTCAATATTCAAGTTAAACTGATCTGTATATTTCTTACATTGAAAGTGCACTGCGTAACATTTCTAGTGGAGGGTCTGCCACCTGTTTGTCTCTATGAAAATGTTATTGTTTTGTCCTGAATGTTCCAGTATAGATTAAACCTATTTGGCACAAGAGAGAAAAGCAAGTTACAGCACTACACTACTACAATTTACATCTGTGGAGAGTCGCCCTTATTCACAGAAGGAATAATGGTATTTTTGAACAATAAAGACACCCCTAATGAATAAATCCTAGATGAAGCAAACATTTCCATGGAGATAAATAACTGCTATGAGAAAAATTGCGCAAGGCACCTTTAACAGTGATGTGTTTTGCTCAGGTTTGGTGCATGAGTGAGAGCCTGGATGTGGACAGACAGATTAACAGGACAGTGGATGGGTCTGTGCTGTCCATTCTGCTGAACGGCCTGCTGCCTGACGTCCCCTACACTGTGGTGGTGGCTGCTGTCACCGGGCTGGGAGTGGGCGCTCTCAGCCCCCCTGTCGACCTGCTTCTCAGTGAGTCATCCAAACTGCTAGAATACTGTACAAAGAGACTAAATATAAAGATTCAGATAAAGATTTTGATTTATTTACTAACGAGAGGATCTTTACACCAATACATCAAAACTTTAATACAAAGCACACGATGTATAAAACTTAACCAAATTAATTCACAACTTGAGTTAACAATGGGAAAAGCTAAAAGATAACTTAAATAAAATAATGGTCAGTCTATTCCAGTGTTTCCCAAACTTTTTTTCTGGGGACACATAATTTTAAAAGTCATAAACCTTCATGATCCAAGTCAGTAGACATTATTCGTAAATCACAAAATAAAGGTGCATTTATTTGACCATTATTCAACATTAATGAGGATATTTTATAGTTGACTGAGTGATCGTGTCTCTCTGAACATTTAATATTACTCAAGTTTTAAACAATGAAAAATAGTCACTGAACCAGCAATAAAAGGATCCATAAGTCGCCTATTTGGACATTAAATGTAGCCCATTTATTTTTCTTTTCAGCTTTCAATTGAACCAGAAATATTGGAACAAAATAGTCAATAAAATAATCACAAAAAGATCAGAAATTATACAAAACATGTCTTAACATTTCAACATGTGTCAGAACTGTATATTGCAGACCTACATGCAGATTATGACAAGAAAACCAAAAAAAACTCTTGTGACCCACCTGAGGGCCGCGACCCAGTCTTTGGGAAACGATGGTCTATTCAGTGTGTGTCACTTCTGAATCTTCAACTTTCTCAACACCAACTGTTCTAAAGTGTGACTAAAAATTATAGATTTAAGTGTCAAGAATATAAACATGTTCTTTGAAAACTTCATTTGTACAGATCTTTTTTTTTAAGATTTCATATTTTCAAAGTCTCAAAGTGTAACGTTCACAGACATTACAGCTGAGGAGTCATGTTTTACTATATAGTTGACCAAGTGAACCACCAGTCTTGTTACATAATAAAGAAACATACAAAGCATATAAGTCAGGGTCACTACATACTACTGTGTCCTTGCAGCATGACAGGTCTGTATTAATGTTAACTTTCTTGTTCACAGCTCTACCGCTGGAGTCTACAGTGAAGAAAAGCAGCAATTTCAGCTTATCGGAGCAGATCACAAATGTTATCTGCCAGCCGGCCTTCATCGCAGGGCTGGGCGTAGCAGCGTGGCTAGTGCTAATGGGCTTTAGTGGTTGGCTGTATTGCCGACACAGAAGAAGAAAACAACTGGGGCATTACACCACCTCTTTTGCATACACACCAGCAGGTAAGGACAGTAACTGTGCTTTTTAGTTGATTAGAGGATTTCATGGGTTTAAGGTTCTTGTTGTATGCAGCATTTTAAGAGTTTTTCACCATACAAAAGATAACATATTAAAGTGCCCATGACAGACTTAGATAATTTTCTTATTTTGACTTAAGCAGGTGGGATAATACCTGTAATAAATAGAAATGATAGTTTTACACCAATCAAGAAGCAATTTGTAGAAAGAGTTTTTAAAAATATGCTGAAAATTACAGAAAGTTCCATATTGAAGACATCACACTAGAGAGAATTATGTCTAAAGGTTTAACACAATTTAAATGATACTTTAAACAATATTTCAACAAAATAAAAGTGTATTCTTATAATTGTATTTGTCCAATAATAATTTTTGTGTACATTAGAAGAGTTTTGGCCCAGTGTACAATATGCTTGCTAGGTGACAGTAATGTAATTGCCTATTTCCCACCTAAAAAAATGTCTAAAATAGGAATTAACTGTGCTTTAGTAAAATTAGTCATTTAACCTGTCATAGGCACTTTACGTTTTAACATGTTAATTGCTATGACAACAGTCCAAATTATTAATCATTTTGAAGGACTACTCCGTGTGCATGCTCCAAGGTTGTAAAACTGAAAGGGGCATCTTGTGTAAAAACTACTGGGACTATAAATTCAATTGTGTGATGAAGGAAAGCGTTTTAAGTGTTATTAGCAGAGTGGATGAAGGAGGAAAAGGTTTATGTTTCAACAAATCTCAATGACAAATTTCCACTGAAGCATTAGGAACATCCTCAGCTTTGATAAATGGTTTTAATTTAAACTTTTGTAGCACTGTAAGATAGACTTCACAAATTCTGTTAATTAAAATGTATCTATATTCCCATAAGGCATCTCTCATGTCTGGTAAACACCATCATCAGGGGTATTATCAGTAAATTGTAACAGCTAAAATTTTTTTGGCGTTCTTTGGCTCAGGGCCACATAAACATACAGGAAAGGGTGTTTTTTGACTTTCCACAGACAACAGTTGTGAAGCAACAAATATGATGCAGTTACTACTTGAACTTTACCAATAGCTCAATTAAGACAACTATGAAATTTCCAAGGTGTCCCTAAAATAGCCAGAAAGTGTAGTGTACATTAACAGTTTCACTTATGCTGCTGCCATGATTGTATTTCAGTCCATTTCTTAATCAAATTACATGTGCATTGATTTGTGCTAAAGGCTGTTCTTATGGATCTTTCAGTGCTCTCCCAGTTACAGTTAGGTCAATATTACACCCTGTATCCACCAAAACATGTAAATATTCACACAATCTGAAAGCTAGTTTAGGCTGAAGAATTATGCAAGAGCTTTATGTACAACAAAACTGAGAGAGGAACTGGGAGATTTAGTTATGTTTTGTTTGAGTATATAGTAATAATAACAACAACAATAATAATAATAATAATAATAATAATAATAATAATAACTATTACGGGAGTCAGAAAGCCTCATTGATCCTACCCATATTAACACAATTTTCCCTTAAAGATAGCTTCCCCTTTTCCAACCATTAATTATACCATCATACATAACATCAATGCAACAAATTCTATTAACCATGGTCAGATATTCTTTTGAACTAGTATTGCTGATTTTGACTGATAAAGAGGTACTCTTTTTGATTGTTATTGTCTTATAAGGACCTTTATTATACAAAACTGGTCATTATGAGGTTTATGCCATGTTATTATGCTCCTCAAAAATATACCCAGTTATGTTTTTTTTTTCATTCACATATGTTTGTAATAAAGTAATCTTTTATTATTAGTGTGTCGACATCTCCAAAGCTCAAAATGCTCTTTTCCACTTTGTGATGTCATGTAGTGGTAGTTTTCAGGTTTACAGGTACCATTTACATTTAGTTCAATAGAGACTGACAAGTCCAAATCTGAAATTATCCAAATGATTCTACAGTAGTGAAGGTATTTAAAGTTTAGAAACACAGTGGAGCACATCCAGTATTTCCACATGACATCACAAGGTGGAACAGAGTGCTTTCTGTCTGAGAGAAGAAATCATCCTAAAAATGTTATGTGTGTTAAACATGTGTGAATAAAACTCCAGGTATGTTTTAATGTGAAAACATCATTATATCAGAGATCAGAAAACAGCATAATATGGGCCCTTTAAGTGCAAATGCTTTCTGACTTTAGAAACATCTAGGCCAGGAAATGAAAGACTGTTGAGTACCAGTATCTATTTTTGATAATTAAGTTGTATGATTTGAAAATGTACATGATTTTTTACAGTTTCAACTGTTTACTTAACAAGCTGCCGTGAGCCTTATAGTATTCCCTGGTTAAAATGAATCTAAACATTTGTCTCTTTCTCATCTTGCAGTAGGTTTTGCTCACAGTGAGGGCTCAGGGATCATCAATGGAGGGTAAGGCACAATAGCGCGCCATTCATTCACTTTATTATAAAAGCCAAAAAAAAAAAAAAAGCCTGTCATCTGATAAATGATTTTTAAATCTGTAGACCTGGCTTGTTGGGGTCCAATATGGGAAACTACCCATGGCTGGCTGACTCGTGGCCAACTCCGAATCTCATCCAAAATAGCAAGGACTCTGTGGACTGCTGCTCCGGAAAACTGGACTCTGAAAAATACTACAACAGTAAGAGCATTTCAACCCCTTAAGTTCAACAATTTATCACTTTATAACTTGGCTACATATTATGTATAAAAATGTGACCAAAGGATGTTCATCATGGTCGCTATTAATGGGTGATCATTTTCTATTCATAAGTATTTGGGTGACATTCACAGGGTCAGATTTTCGCGGCCAGACCAATGGGATTGCGTTTCTTTTGAAAGTGCAACTCTTGTGTGCTGTTTGTAAAGGGCTTGAGTGTTTGGAGTGTCTGCTGTGGTCCATTTCAATACATCAAAATTACACCAAAGAAGAGATGACAGTGGCACGTTGAGAGCTGAAAAAGGACTGGTTATTATAGAATGTAAATGTGTTTTACTTTGAGTCTATGCGATGGTCAAACATATTATTATAACTACTAGTTGTAACATAACATAAAATGCTTTATACACAGATCAAGGACAACAAAAAACAACTCGTATAGTAAAAGCATTGTTTAATACATTTTCAGGTATAATGAACTACACCAACCAATCAGAGAAGAGAAGCACTGCCTCCAATGATAGTCCCATCTACAGCACAATTAACACAACAGCGGATGATGACCTGTTAGCTTATTATGACACATACTCCACCAAGTCCTACTCGCAAGGCCCAGACCCATACAGCAGTAATCCAGCTCTGTACAACACAGGCCTGGTGGATCTCGACCAGTGGACCCTCCAGTCTGGCCAGTCAGGCTCAGAATACGCCAAGCTTCAGTACACCAAGAAGAACAATGGTGAGAAGGGTACTTTTAACAAGCACAATTTTGGTTGTGGTGCTTGAACTTCTATTTGAGTATATCTTTAGCCATGTAACATTTACTTGACATAGTTTCATTACTCTTATTTCCACCACTGGTTCTTGGACACATCTGGGAGTAATGAAGGACTAGCATGAGCATGAAGAGTGAATGTTACTGCAACAACTTTCCCCAGACATAATAACAATTATCTGTTTTAGTATTTTTTACTAGATTTTTCTTTCTATTTGACTGTATATAAAGATAAACACATAATAAATAAAAAGATAAATACGTTTTTTGTTTTTTTTTGCCTTGCTATTACAATAGTTTAAATGTAATAAAATATACAACATATATACTTATGTTATATACTTTTTTTTCAGCTTATGTCATTTTTTTCCTCAAAGCATATTAGTCATTCCAAACAATTATGCTTGCAGACAAACTGGTAAAGCAGAGGTCCTCAGGTCTGACCTCAAAACCAGCCGCTCTTACGTGGATGGATGTCCTGTCTCTGCCCCTTCCTGACACTACAGACCTGCACAGCACAAACACACAGGAGCAACAACTGAATAGGTAAAATCATTATGTCTGTTTTGTTTCAACGCTACATGCTCCTTCCTCTCAGTGCACTGTCAAATCTTCATTTAGAGTGAATATTAATAACTTCAAGGCACTCCCTAAATGACAGGGAGACTTACGGCTGACAGATATCAAACCTTCCCCTAACTCTCTGCTGTCAAACCAAACTTGAGTGAAGTTGTGTGTCTGGGGACTGGGTGAATTAGCTACAGTCATGTCTCGGGGCGTTGCATACATTGAGCTGTGGGGTTACTGAGAGGAGCCTGTTCTAACTAACTGTGACAGATGAGGATGCCGACGTAACAGGGTGACTGCTAAGGGCTGCCATGTCTTTTGTAATGACATTAACTTGTGTCTGACAGCTTAAATTAGCACTTTGCCTTTTTAACGACATGTCCATCATTAAATTTACTTTGACAGTGGTGCACAAATAAGGGATGTTCTCCGTCAAAGTTGTGTTTATACATATACGTATAAGACTTTTCTTTTTTTTTTCTTTATATTTTATTTTATTTATTTTTTATTTAACGTAACATTTTAAACAGTGCTGATTTTTTATTAAATAACACACGATACATGGTTATTATTCAGTTTTGTTTTGCTCTGCATATTTTTTGCACCAAATGCCTTTTCCTGAAGCAAGAACTAAAAAGCATGATAAGGTGCCTGCATCTGACTTAATACGACCAGCTATAAATAGTACAAGTCTATCCTCTTCACAAACTATTGGAGCCATTGCTGATTTTATTAGCACTGGCTTTTTCCAGGTTAAATATTTCTATTCCTTCAGTCTTCACCTGATCAACTGTGGCTACAGTAGCAGCTTACCACCATCTGTATGAACAGAATGAATTATGCACCAAATTGGGTGAAACGTTTGCTTCTGGAAAAGGCACTATATACAACTAAAGCATTTTATTTCCAATGCTTCTTTATATAGCCCTGAGGATGAGGATGAAGACTGGTGTCCTCCATTACCTGCCAGAACCTATTTGATGGACAGCTCTAAAGAAGAACTTTCAAGTCCCATTTCTAAACAAGATGAGGCACCCTACACACCGATACGCCTGCCCTCGCCCCAGAAAGACCACCGACAGCCCAACCACACTTCACATCTCCCAACCTTTGACCTTTTGTCTCGGCAGCGCCCTAACTCCCAAATCTCACAGTCCAACCCTGATCTGTTTACAAACAAGGAGGAGGATGTGTACCACACAAGCCACTGGGCTGACACTTTCACTAGCGATACTTTCGGCAAAGGTTAGTTTGAGCTTCAATATTAAGACATTTTGTGTTTTATCAAAGGAAGTCACCAATAGAAAGACCGTGTACATTCAATAAATTATAACACATATTCCAACTGTTCAGCTTTTCATCTGGTACAAGCACAAAACTGTATCTCTGGCAGCTGTTGTCAAATCATATATAACTGACAAAATAGTTAATCAACATTGTCATTAATTTATCTCAGAAAAATCGCCCCCTGGTGCGGGCTCTGCTGTCATGGTACACAGGCCGAGGAGCAAGAAGAAGCTATCTAAAGATGTTCAGCTCCACAGAGACCTACAGGGTCTGGCAGGTACATTCTTAACAATAGTAGGAAAGTTATTTTGGGCGTTTTCTGAATCAAGCCACATTATTGCTGCTCTGTTGTGTGTAAAATTGTATTCAGGCCTGCCCCCTCTACCTGCCCCTCCCCCCAACGAAGACTCCCTAAAGCTGTTAGCAGATGTCCTGGGCCACAGCCGGACTGACAGTAGTGAGCGGAGAGATGCCAGCGACCTGTCCAGTCTTCAGAGGAGGGAGGGACATTTTTCCCCACAGCGATCAAGGCCCACTAAATGGATGCTGCAAGGTGTGAAGTGAAAATACGCATTCATCCTAATGTATTCACATTTTTATTGTTTTACTATTAATTCCACAGAGGTCTACACATTTTTTCAAACTCAGCATTGTTTTTTAGCCCCTTATTAGTGTAAAAATAGCTGACACACAGATGCATTTGTTTTGTGCAGAAGAGAATGTAAACCCATACGCTCAGTCAACTTTCCTGCCCAGTGTACAGATGTCTGGGTATGGCTCTCTTGGCGGTGCAGTCCTTCCAAGGCCCTCTACAGCACGGCAGAAAAAAGATGAGGTATATCTTATTGTCTTCATTTTATAGTCATTAATGTTCCAAACCTTAACTGGTATTTAGCTACTGAAAAATGCTCAGAATAATCTGGAGAGAACCACAGAATGTTTTAACCATGGATGCTATAGATATATCTCTATATTGCATAAATACTAAAAATAAAATCCGTTTTTTTTCAGAATCTCATGTAGACAAGGCTGTGACGTTCATATTGTGTTGCCATGGTACCAGAGAAACAGCAACAACTATCAAGGCGCGCCATCTGGCTTCTATCTGTTCCTCTGGTTCATTTATTGACAAATATTAGTTTTCAATCTTTATTTTTGGTGATTTGTTCCCCACCCATTCATGTACAGTAAAAAGGACAATTTACATTTTTATACATGTAATAAGAGATATTGCTAAATCACAGTACTAAAAGAACCCAATATTTTTGAACATAGCTTACGCATATTGTACAGAAGATTACTGAATGTATCATCTATTGACTGGTATAGATATTACATTTGAGTGACTGGAAAATGTGGGTTTGTATTTGGTATGAATGTGCATGTGTAGAGTAAAGACTTTGGACCTTCCATCTCTGTATTACTGTACAAAACATCACCTGTGTGTTGTCTTTTTTAAATGAACAATAAAACATTTGTAACAAAATCCTTTGTTGTGTTTCATGACCAAAGTGCCCTTGTAGTGATTTATACAAACAGTTCATTCTACCTGTGGCCTTTCAGTCAGTCCTCAAACATCAGTAAGACAGCGAGTGTTGCAAGTTTCTTATGAGAACATTGTATTGAAGTTCAGTGAAAAAAGAGCATGTCACATAAAATAGATTCTCGAATATAACTTCAGAACTGCTTGTATCAGTTTTTCCTGTTATGTTCTTGTATGCCACATGACTGCACTGAAGTCTATAGTGAGGCCATAGATTGTACTGTATGATAGTGCTCCAGTCATTATATTGGCTACAACAGGTAATAAATTGTGCCATCTTGTGGAGAAAACTGAAACATGCAACATGCATGTAAAAGAAAGTAGGCCTATAGCCAATGCATTACTAGGCCTTAATAAAAGTGCTTTTATATTTTTGTAAATTATTGCAAGAGATGTTGTAATTGTTATTGTTATGTATGCACTTTATCCTTAATGAAAAATGGTGTTCATGTACGGCTTGTAAAATGAAGTTTACACTTCACACTGCAGTTCATCAGGGAATCTCATAATGGAAACCCACATTAATTTCACATGGTAGGCTTTACTTTAAAGTGAAAATTAAAATGCATATTTAGCTCTATCTATCATACTTATACCACTTACTTCTTTTGTTGTCAAAAACCTCCACACTCAGAGTTTTTTTGGCCACCCACATGCCAGCTCATTTCTGTGCCCTTGACCTTGGGATCTTTTCCCAACCATTTGGTGCACAGCAGGTTCAACTTGAGCTGCTAAATGACATTTTTCCTACACAAAACCACCACCACCAAACCTTGTACAGAGTTTTTAAAACAAATGTGCATGGGATAAAATAAAGTTAGATTTTTTCAAGTTTCATTATATCTTTATAATAAATACATTTTAAACACTTTGTGTAAATCAAATGCAACACACAGTATGTAGATTATGAAATGAACCCCAAGTATCCACTTTACTCAGAACATATGAACTTTGAACCAGTATGATTTAAAGTTTTTCCATTTCTGGAGGCTTTCCCCCTATTTTTTTTTTCTTTTATGTGCATCAAATTTACAGATCACAGTATAGCCCCATAATTATCAACAGAAATGTGATATGTGGACATTGTTACTCATGACTTTGGTGTCCCAGCTGCCGAGCATTCTGAATTCAAACGCCTATGTCATCAGTATTACCGTGCTTTAACAGTTTTGTATTTTCAGCAAATTCCCTAAAACACAAAACTCTGCTCTGTGATTGGCTATGGCTCTGCGGGCCCTATTGTCTCAGTGGTCTGCTGGTTCGCCATAGTTTTCTATGCACAAACAAAACTTTACTGCCAACCAGGACATTATTGGGATCCTGGGTGCAGTGATAGCCAAAAATATTAAAATCTTTATTATTAATACAAAAGGAAAATAGAAAGGTAAGTTATTAACCATTTGAAACAATTAGTGTGGTGGTGGGATAGTTCAATATTCTATAAATATTTAATCACTTAAGACTAACTGTTGAACAACTGGTTATTTTATAAAACATTATTGTATGTATTGTGTGTAATAACTGCTTTGTCAATATTGAATTTTGGGGGGATTGTAGATTATTTCTATTTTTTCCACTAACTATATAATATACAATATGAACTTGGATTGCTTGTTTTTTGTTAAGATATAGGGCCTGTTTTGCAAATTTCTGAAATGGTCGGCAGACTTTGACACAACATTTTCAACTCACCTCACAGTTTTTTTATGCTCTATGTAAATTCTAGTATAGTCTGTTATCCGGTGTTTTAAAAAGAGGGTTGTGGCCACATTATTTTGTTTTGTTTTGTTTTTACCTGACAATGACGAATAAATACAATTTTATTCGATTTTTTTCAATTGTATCCCCATCATCTGTTTCAGTAATGATATAACAATTGCTATGTTGGATTTTTGTGAAAAATAAAATACAAAAGGTGTCACCAACATTGCTGCAAAGTTGCCAATCCAGTATCTAGACTAGTACTGGGTCTGAACCAAAACTAGTACTAATCCAGAATAAATCTAGGTCTAAACCAGGACTAAATAAACTAGTAAACAAGAGAAAATGTATCGGCTGTTGGGACGTCCTAACTGTACCATGCGGGGCCAAACCCGACTGATAATTCTCTCTGACAGTGACGATGTACAGCTTCATGGGTGGTGGGCTGTTCTGCGCTGGAGTAGGCAACATCCTTCTGATTGTCTCCACGGCAACAGACTACTGGATGCAGTACCGACATGCCAGCAATTACATGCACCAGGGTCTGTGGAGATACTGTGTGCCCGGGAAATGCATGACACACACAGACAGCATTGGTAAGAGCTGGGCCCATATGACGCTCATTTAATCGTGCCCATAATGTAAAACAATGCAAAACAAAATTCACATGATATTATAATTAAATAGTTTTTGCACTATTTTTTGTCTATACCTGCCCATAGCTTATTGGGACGCAACACGAGCCTTTATGATCCTCTCCCTGCTGGCCTGCTTCATTGGAATTGTAATTGGTATAATGGCTTTTATCCACTATTCATCCTTTGACAGCTTTGACAAGACATTTGCAGCCGGCATTCTCTTCTTCATCTCTTGTAAGTCCTCACAAATACAAATTACACCCTAGGTATTTTAGTTTAATGAAGAAAATAATATATTGCATACTGCCTCCAACATTAAGGTGAAACAGGACAAAAACAAGATGTCCATTTCTGGATTATTAACCATAATGTTTTGTATACTCTAATGCATGTACCATTTTGACATTTATATAGCATTTTGTGCACATACCAGCTTGTCAAAGCCTGATCTGTCAGATCTTAGAAGCTAAGAAAGGCTGGTCTTGGTTAGTACTTGGATGGGAGACTGCTGAATATCAGGTGCCACAGTGGGCTGCCAATGGCAAACCAACAGTATCTACTATGAACGTGGCACCTGTATGTGAAATGTGTGTATATGTATGAGTGTTAATGGTAGTTGGAGAGGTCAATGGCGCAGATTGGCAGCATCGCTTCCATCAGTCTGCCCAAGGGCAGCTGTGGCTACTGTGGTAGTTTACCCCCACTGAATGGATTGAAAGATTAAAGCAGTGTAAAAAGATATTCATATATTATTTATTATTACCAAATAATACTGATTTTTGAAATGATCTTCTATTTTTCCCATGTGTTTAGGCTTCTTTGTGCTGCTGGCAATGGCAGTATACACTGGCGTGACTGTGAATTACTATGGAAAACGTTATGGCAGTTGGCGTTTCTCCTGGTCCTATATAATGGGCTGGGTTGCAGTTGTGCTAACCTTTTTCTCAGGTGAGGAGTTTGTTGCAAATGATCCCCTTGTTCATGAAAACATCCCAGCCAATCAAAATGGTATCTTTTAGGTATCTTCTACATGTGTGCATATCGAATGCACGAATGCCCAAGAAACTCCAACTCACGCTGAACAGACACACGGACATCCTGGTGCTATTGGCCTTGCGGATGCTTTATCCCAAAAAAAAACTAAGTACCTGAAATTTCCAGTTCAACTTAACATTTTTAAAGTTACAAAATAAAATAAATTTCTACACAACCTATTGGAGTCATTCTTTTTTTCTTTTTCTTTTTTTTTAACAAAGTTTAAAGGAACTAATAACTATTACTAGCAAGTAATAATCAAATGCCAATGTATGTAAAGTTTTCAAGTGATGATGAAATTACCATTCTAAAACAATCAATAACTTTATTTTGATTGATAAAACTGGACTTGTGGATAGTCACAAGATGCTAAACCATGTGTTCATATGCTCAAAATAAATATCCAAATATAGTTACTGTAACACTGAATCTATTTTAGTTTATTATTAAAATCAGATTATTGATCCTGCTGATCTTTCCACATTGGTGGGTTCACTGAGGGCATCAGCAGACCCAAGCATCCCAGGCAACCAATCCTGCTACATTATGGTGATAATGGGTTTGCACACTTCCTCTTCTGCTTTTCTGCATACTCATCTTTCAATGCTTCCTAATAACACATTTTAGTTTGAACAACAACAATTTAAAACTTAACCATGACATGAAGTCATATTGTCCAGCCAGTGAATCATTTTGTTCTAGCTGTTTAGACTTCATCTCTGTTTTTATCTTTGAGTTTCTCAGTGTCCATATCTCTGTGAAAAGATCTGAGTAAAACTGACAGGAGGCCTAGCTGGAGGTCTTCCTATTCCTGTTGAGCCTCACCTTGAGATGTGGTTGACTGCTTGTCGTGGTACTTTGATGGACGATGGGATTCTGAAGGGTCCAGGGCTTTTCTGAACTCTTCTTGGAATGCTCTAAAACAAACATGGGAACAATTCTAGAATATAGTGAGACACAAACCACAAAATAACAATTTTTAAGATGATTAGTTCTTGGACCTGGGGTGGGGTCTGTGATCTGGGAACAAGTGGACAAACTTTTAAATCCTGTTAATGGAATGACAAACATCCTGGTCATCCAACCACTTTGGAACATTTACCACTGAGAAGTTTTATGCCATACTGTGGAAGATTATAACCAAAAGAACAACATTTCCAGTCAGGTTTGTGCAGATGCAACCATTCAGAGAAACACCCAGTCCAGCTGTGACTGTTGTCACAAAAGAGTGTTCTACTTTATTAATCAACGGTCCACTAAACATACCACATAAGTCCTAGTTCATAAAAGAAGTCATAAAACACCGTAGTAATTCAGGAAATTAATCATATTATACAAGTTGCTCTTGTTACACCAAAGACAGGTAGGACAAATCGACCATCCTGAGAAGAATCTGAACCAGTTTCCAAAACCACAATTTTTTTTTTTTTTTATCACAAAAATTGTATAGGACTTTTAAATTAATTCCACCTTTTTTCTTTTTTTCTTCTTCTTTTTTTTTTTTTTTTTAAATAAGTCCCTAAATGCTCATTCTGTTATGTCTCAGACCATCCACAGGGACACCTGCTATACCTATTCTTATATTTCCCCAAAATTATTGAGGAACAATTAGAAATCTGATTTTTCTGTGTAGAGCTTGTTCCCAGTTAAAATGAGAGTAGATCAGATAGCAGAGGCCAAAACTACAGAGCCACAAATGAGTCCAGCCATTTGTCTGTACTCTAAAAGGTTCAAAAACACATTCCATTTAAATTGAGAGTCAAACGTTTGAGGAAAAACAGGCAGCAATAGTAATCAAAATAACCTTATAGCGTTTGCTCTTTGAAAACAAAAACTGACTCATTATACTGTTCATGGGTTTCAGCTTCCTGTGATATGTAACATTTTAAGAACTTTTTCCCATTCAGAAGATACAATATTTTGTTAAATTGTTGAATTAATTACCATGGTCTAATTGTTTATCAAAAGTGAAGTGCAATACAACGCTGCATGTTTAGAAGCAGAATTAGGTGGTCAAGGAAATGAGGGCAGCGTCTCATATAGAAAGTATTGAAAACTACTCAAAACTTTAAAAGATGATAAAAATGGAGTCTATGCTCTCACTTCAATGATTATCTAGCTTTCATTAAAATAACTCAAAATTTTGATCAATCTGTGCCTATTTGTGTCATCCTGTTTTGTCCCATTTGTGGTTTGAGTTTTCATAAAATGTCTGCTTTCACCTGTCTCCAATTTCCACCACAGAACTTCCTTGCAACTATTATGTTATAGTTTAATTCTAAATACAATGAAAATTTGAATTATTTTAGCTTTCACTCTATTATCCATTCACAATATGCCATGGTGTTAATTCACAAAAAATAGTCAATCAAAAAGTGTATATTGTTATCACCATCCATCCATCCATCCATTTTCGTCCGCTTATCCGGGGCCGGGTCGCGGGGGGAGCAGCCTAAGCAGGGACTCCCAGACTTCCTTCACCCCAGACACGTCCTCCAGCTCCTCCAGGGGGACCCCGAGGCGTTCCCAGGCCAGCCGAGAGACATAGTCCCTCCAGCGTGTCCTGGGTCTTCCCTGTGGCCTCCTCCCGGTGGGACAAGCCCGGAACACCTCCCGAGGGAGGCGACCAGGAGGCATCCGGAACAGATGCCCGAGCCACCTCAACTGGCTCCTCTCGACGTGGAGGAGCAGCGGCTCTACTCCGAGCTCCTCCCGTGTGACTGAGCTCCTCACCCTATCTCTAAGGGAGCGCCCAGCCACCCTGCGGAGGAAACTCATTTCGAGCGCTTGTATCCGCGATCTCGTCCTTTCGGTCACTACCCAGAGCTCATGACCATAGGTGAGAGTAGGAACGAAGACTGACCGGTAAATCGAGAGCTTCGCCTTTCGACTCAGCTCCCTCTTCACCACAACGGTCCAATACAGCGACCGCATCACTGCCGAAGCTGCACCGATCCGCCTGTCAATCTCACGTTCCGTCCTTCCCTCACTCGTGAACAAGACCCCGAGATACTTGAACTCCTCCACTTGAGGCAAAGACTCTCCACCCACCCGGAGAGGGCAAGCCACCTTTTTCCGGTTGAGAACCATGGCCTCGGACTTGGAAGAGCTGATCTTCATCCCAGCCGCTTCACACTCGGCTGCAAACCGCCCCAGTGCACATTGCAGGTCCTGGTTCAATGGAGCCAACAGAACAACATCGTCCGCAAACAGCAGAGATGAAATCCTGTGGTCCCCAAACCGGACCCCGTCCGGCCCCTGACTGCGCCTAGAAATTCTGTCCATAAACACAATGAACAGAACCGGTGACAAAGGGCAGCCCTGGCGGAGTCCAACATGCACCGGGAACAGGTCTGACTTACTGCCGGCAATGCGAACACAGCTCCTGCTCCGGTCATACAGGGACCGGACAGCCCTTAGCAAAGGGCCCCGGACCCCATACTCCCAGAGCACCCCCCACAGGACACCACGAGGGACACGGTCGAATGCCTTCTCCAGATCCACAAAGCACATGTGGACTGGTTGGGCAAACTCCCATGAACCCTCGAGCACCCGATGGAGAGTGTAGAGCTGGTCCAGTGTTCCACGGCCAGGACGAAAACCACACTGCTCCTCCTGAATCCGAGGTTCGACTATCGGCCGGATTCTCCTCTCCAGTACCCTGGAATAGACCTTACCGGGAAGGCTGAGGAGTGTGATCCCCCTATAGTTAGAACACACCCTCCGGTCCCCCTTCTTATACAGAGGGACCACCACCCCGGTTTGCCAGTCCAGAGGTACTGTCCCCGACCGCCACGCGATGTTGAAGAGGCGTGTCAGCCAAGACAGCCCCACAACATCCAGAGACTTCAGGTACTCAGGGCGGATCTCATCCAACCCCGGAGCCTTGCCACCAAGGAGCTTGCCAACCACCTCAGTGACTTCGGCCAGGGTGATGGACGAGTCCGCCTCCGAGTCCCCAGCCTCGGCCTCCTCCTCGGAGGACGTGACGGTGGGATTGAGGAGATCCTCAAAGTATTCCTTCCACCGCCGGACAACGTCCCCAGTCGAGGTCAACAGCTCTCCCCCCGCACTGTAAACAGTGTTGGTGAAGAACTGCTTTCCCCCTCCTGAGGCGCCGGACGGTTTGCCAGAATCTCTTTGAGGCCGTCCGATAGTCCTTCTCCATGGCCTCCCCGAACTCCTCCCAGCTCCGAGTTTTTGCCTCCGCGACCACACGGGCTGCAGCACGCTTGGCCCGCCGGTACCCGTCAGCTGCCTCAGGAGTCCCCCGAGCCAACAAGGCCCGATAGGACTCCTTCTTCTGCCTGACGGCATCCCTTACTTCCTGTGTCCACCACCGGGTTCGGGGATTGCCGCCGCGACAGGCACCACAGACCTTACGCCCACAGCTCCAAGCCGCATCGACAATAGAGGCTGAGAATGAAGCCCACTCGGACTCCATATCTCCGGCCTCCCCCGGAATCCGGGAGAAGTCCTCCCGGAGGTGCGAGTTGAAGGTCCCTCTGACAGAGGGCTCCGCCAGACGTTCCCAACAGGTCAGGCCAGGTCTTTCCGGCTTCCTCCTCCGCCAGCGAACCCAACTCACGACCAGGTGGTGATCAGTTGACAGCTCAGCCCCTCTCTTCACCCGAGTGTCCAAGACACGCGGCCGGAGATCAGATGACACGACTACAAAGTCGATCATCGACCTCCGGCCTAGGGTGTCCTGGTGCCACGTGCACTTATGGACACCCTTGTGCTCGAACATGGTGTTTGTTATGGACAAACTGTGACTGGCACAGAAGTCCAATAACAAAACACCGCTCGGGTTCAGATCAGGGAGGCCGTTCCTCCCAATCACCCCTCTCCAAGTGTCACTGTCGTTGCCCACGTGGGCGTTGAAGTCCCCCAGGAGAACAACGGAGTCCCCGGTCGGTGCACTGTCTAGTACCCCTCCCAAGGACTCCAAGAAGGCCAGGTACTCTGCACTGCTGTTCGCACGGCGGCGCAGGGACGCGACCCTCTCGTTCACCGGGGTGAACTCCAACTCACAGCGACTGAGCTGTGAGGCAATGAGCCCACACCAGCCCGCCGCCGCTCCCCGCGGCCAACGCCAGAGAAATGGAGAGTCCAGCCCCTCTCAAGGAGTTGGGTTCCAGAGCCCAAACGGTGCGTGGAGGTGAGGCCGACTATATCTAGTCGGTAACGCTCAACCTCCCGCACAAGCTCAGGCTCCTTACCCCCCAGCGAGGTGACATTCCATGTCCCCAGAGCTAGTCTCCATGTCCGGAGATCTGGTCGCCGAGGCCCCCGCCGTCGACTGCTGCCCAGATCTCTCTGCACCGGCCCCATATGGATCCTCCCGCGGGTGGTGGGCCCACGTGAGGACGGCCCCACGTCGCTCCTTCGGGCTAAGCCCGGCCGAGCCCCGTGGGGGGAGGCTCGGCCACCAGACGCTTGCCTTTGAGCACCCACCCCAGGCCTGGCTCCAGGGTGAGGCCCCGGTGACGCCAATCCGGGCGACGTAACTGGCCTTGCTGGTACACTCATCATAGGGACTTCTGAACCGTTCTTCGTCTGACCCGTCCCCCCGGACCTGTTTGCCTTGGGTGACCCTACCAGGGGCATGAAGCCCCCGACAACATAGCTCCTGGGATCATTCGGGCACTCAAACCCCTCCACCACGATAAGGTGACGGTTCAAGGAGGGGTATTGTTATCACATGAAGTTAATAATCAAACACAGCCTCTACTAAGGATAGAGTGATCAGCCTTCACATGCATGTATTCTGAAACTTTAAAAAAAAACCTTCACTGATATCTTTTCCACAGCAGATTTGACAAGAAAATCTGTATCATGAGGTCAAAGTAGAACAGGTCAAATTTCTCTCTGAATGGGTCACCATCTCATAATTAAATGTTATAACAAGCCTGGTATTTGATTTCCATTTGAAGTGTTGCTTGATTCTCTTCTAAAGTAACCTTAAATAACGGAGCTCCACCTTAAAACTGCCTTTCATAATACTATCCTAGCGGGACATGGTGTTATTATAACTGTGCAGACTGAAAGAACATATTGTCCCGTTAAACTCATCATTTAATACCCCTTACACATTTCATATTAGTGATAGGAAGAGATACTGTCACAAAAAGGTAGTTAGAGTTACTGTATTGTACATGTAGAGTAGTTGAAAGTAGTTCTAAAATAAGGTCACCTGCCAGCACTTATACTATTATATAGTGGGAAAATATGTTAAATGAGTTAAACAAGGCACTTTCATCCAAATATTTATACTTATTTACACTGGAAGCAAAGTCCTATATTACACAAAATATATTCTTGTGAGATTTAAGCCATGTTAGGATGGTGTTACCTGAACAAAAACATACACATGACATCACAAGGTGGATTTTTTTCTGTTTGAGAGAAGGACTCTATAATAAATATACAGGGTTTGTGTGTTAAATGTGTGAAGGAAACAAAACACAATTCCAGGTATGTTTTTGACGAGGAAACAACATTTTAACATAGATCATGAAATTGCGTAATATGAGCTCTTTAAAGAACGTCTTTGTTCTGATGTGTGGACTGGAAGTTAACTAAATCCAAATGGGATCTACATGTCAAATTGTAAGACCAAAATATGCTTAAAAGATGGTATTACCTGCAAACAAACAAACAAACAAACAAACAAAAAACATATGCAAAATCAAAATCTGCACAAGTTTCAGGACCAAATAATCACATATAGTGTCTTTACTGTACTGCAAAATCCATATTATATGAGATTCTGAGGAGTATCATTTGAACACTTTAGTTGGGAACTTGTTTATCTGGTTTAACTTAGTAATCTAAACACATAGTATGGGCCCCACTGGAAAAACATACACTGTCAAATGATCCACGGGAATCCCCTTTTTGTCATACGTTATGAACATGCACCATTATGCAAGATGTTGATCTACTCTTTCTCCCATCTGAAATTTGGCAGTTGCTGATTTCAAGGAAACTGAAATTTTGATTAGTGTTATATTGGGTCAGACTGAACATGGTTTGAACAGACTAGTACAGACACATGCATGTTGAGTTGGAGTTGAGTCAAAATGTTGTTCTCTTAGCAATCCCAGCTCCGGTTGGTGTGTCCTTGAACAACACACTAATACTGACTTTACTCTTACATGGATCTGCATGGACTGAACTTAACCAAAAATATTGTGTCTCATGTGTGTCCATTAACAACTTTCTCATCCAAATAAGTTAATAAGGTCTTGGGAAATCATATTGATGAAAAACTTAGCTGGAAAATGCAAATAAGTATAATTCAGAGAAAATTTGCTACAATTGTTACCATAATGAGTAAAATGAAAAGTCTCTTCAAAATCCCCTTTCCTTACTGCATTACAGTCTATTCCTTCCATACTTAAACTACTGTGTTATAATATTTGTAAATCTAATATCAATACACTTTTTTACTCCAAAAAAAGGTTGTCAGGAAGGATTATTAATCAAGCAAATTACTATGCATCAACAAATCCTCTTTTTGTTAAGATAAAAAATACTTAGTTTTTTGATCTTGTTGACATGAGTACAGCTATAGTGATGTACGAGGCCTATAGTCATAATCATATACAGGAGTTTTTCAAGCCGAGAGTCAGTATAATCTTAGAACAACAGGCAACTTTTAAAAAATAAAGATAAAAGCTAAAAAAAAAAAGTTATTGTATTTCTGTTAGAGGGGTTTGTATATGGAATAACCTGAATGATGATTAAAAAAAAAAAACTATAGAAGCCTTTAAAAAGGGGTATAAAGCATTATGTTTTGGAAAATATAGAGCCCTGGAATTAATGAACAATGCATTGAATTTTGTTTGTTTTTATTTTGTCACTTATATAAACAGTACGTTGTAAGTGAAATTGTAAAATTTGCAAACTTGCTGTTCATATGCTGCTTTTCTTTCTTGGAATTCTGTCATTGTTTAACAGGGTTAGGCATGTACCTTTTGCTTCAGCCTAAACCCTTTCAGTCATGATCCACGGGGTGGTAGTCATATGTTTTTTGTAGTGCTGCAAAATGACCAAATAAACTACTGCTACTACTACTACTAATAATAAACTAATAACAATTAGATTTTTTTTGTAGGATCAGTCTAACAATGCCTCTAGTGACTGAGATGGAATTCTTCCAGGTCTTTGTTGTGACCTAACCAGTTGCTCTGGTTTGCAGCTTAACCAGTGAACAGAGCAATCACTGAAGCCCCTGAACCCAAAGCCCTCTCCTCTCTGACAGCTGAGACATCCACGTTTTGGATGGACGAGTCTTGACCCAAATCTGACATGGGGCCTGTTCTAGACTCTTGCACAGGCTTTCCCAAAGGTGACTATATGTACAAGTCCATGTTCAGATTATTGCTCTGAAATCACAAGTGCTTATTTTAGCGGACAAAGGAGATTATAACTGGCATTTGACACAGGATACTCCAACGGTAATCCATCAGGCAGTGTTTCCATGCAGTGTCCTCCTGTTGCATTGTGGTTCTGTTCTTCTGGGACCATAGGCGTCATGATGATGCACAAAAGACCAGGGATTTCTCTCAAATAGGTGTGTCTTTTATTTGCACTTTACAAAACAAGTCCGCAAAATGACTATTTACACCTTCCACCCCAAGGCCATAACAAAAACAGATCTATTACAAAAGTTGCATTCACCACAGACAAGGAGGAACATTTATCTCAGAAAGGATTTTTAAAGACAATGATTTTGATAAGATCTCTGATCCAGCCCTGTGTACGCTGCTGTTTCCTAAGCAACTTTTCCCAAAAATAACAATAAACAAGTTTTACCATTCAGTAAAATCATTTCCACCCATAAACCTACATTTGTGGAATTATGTTTGGTTTCTAGTAACAAAGTTTACGTCATGTCTATGTAGATTAACTCTAAACACACACACACAAAACTAGTGCTGTTGGGACTAAAAGATTGCAATGACTTTCATTTAAAAATCTAACCCTTTAATGAAATATAAGTAGGCCATTTTATACGCATAATCAGAGCAGAGAAAAGCTTTATAATATTTACACCAATTCCACAATATTGTATAGTTGAGATCAGCTTGAAATAAATATATATAATATATAAAACTAAAAAAAAGAAAAATACACATATAACTATCAACAATATAGCTTTTATCAATGTTATTATATTTGTGTTTTGTACTGAAGTGCTGCTTTGCTGTGCCATGAAAAGGCTCAGATCTGATTACAGTATTGTCTGCTTAGAGCCCCTCCTGACCCTTCCAGGCGCTGTATAAAAGCCATGCGCTCTGTCACATCAGCATCACACAGATCAATATTTCTACTTTCTGGTGAGTAGAATTTTTGTGTTATTTGAACAATTTGGACTCTGCCAATACCAAGTTAGTTTTCTTATTTGTTTTCTTACAGGTTTTAGCCAGCAACCATGAAGGTGATCATCTTTACGTGTCTACTTTTCCTAATTATAAAAACAGATGCTCAAACTATCCCAGCGTCTTGTAGCACAAGCGATACAAACAGATCCCCGGGTATATAATCCTTAAACTATGTAAGTTTCATATGTTGTATTTGATCTAATTTTGTATGTTTTTGACTTGACAGAAAACTCTGACATTAAGGTGGTCTGTGGAACGGAGTCTATGGACCTGCGCATCTTGCTTTGCCCCATTTACAATGCCAACTACAACGAGACTCTGATGATTCTCAATGGGCAGACCAACACTGAGTGTAAAGGGACACCAGACTTCACTACCACCCCCCCGGTGTTAAAATTCAAATTCTCCATAAATCAACAGTCTCTTTCTTCCTGCAACAATGTGTTCCGGGTATTGGAACAGAACTTACAAATGCAGATCTCCACAAATGAGTGGTTTTGACACTGTGTCTATCAACAGATCTTTGATGTTGTTGGGAGTGGAGACTTTTCACAGTTTTCCAGTATTCAGCACGTGAACATCTCAGGGAGGGTGGAGTCGTTTGACCCTACTCCTGGTATGATCACCTACCGATCACAGCTAACCTACATGTACTCATGCCAGTACCCCTTGCAGTATGTGCTCAATAACACCGAGATGGCCGTGTGAGTATCCTCAACCCAAATCTGCTACAGAGAAAACAGAACAACATAGATTAACTGAAGCTTCCTCTCTTTTAGAGCTGGAGTCAGCCTCGCCATAACTGACAACAATGGAAGTTTTATCAGCACTCTGACGATGGGGTTATTCAACGTAAGGCCTGCTTTTATGTTTCACTTTTAGATTATGCCTTAAAATATAACTACTCAAATGACAGTCACATTGCTTCTGAGAATAATGCTATGACAAACTGTCAGAACGTAACATCTGATTTGTAATTTGAAGTTAATATAATTGAAAGGACAACATTAAATAATGAACAAAATCTGGGATTTTAAAAGAATATACCACTCAAAATTAACCCTTATCCGAGGGAGTGACACTAAAAAACACACATCTCTTCAAAATGTATCCCCAATAAATGTCTTTAAAAAGTTACACAATAAAATGTAAATGTAACAACCCAACTCTCACAAAAACTCCTGACATATGCAGATGTTTTTTAATTTAATTTAATTTTAATTTACAGGGTCCAGACTTCCTTAAACCTCTTATTATTCCGACAACAGGACTTGGCCTAAAAGAACAAATTTATGTCCAAGTTAGTGCTAGCAATCTGTCAGACAGGTTTGTGGGAATGCTGTATATATTTCAGTAGTACTTCAGCTTCAGTGTCCTCAGAATCCAAACCCAGTCTCTTGGTGTTGACAGATTTAACGTGCTGCTTGACCGATGCTTTGCGACAGTCGGTTTGTATCCTGATAGTACACCAGGTTATGACCTTTTTATTGGGTAAGTTGTATCTCAACACTTGTATTTTATGGTAATATTTCATAATAACTACACCTTTAGTAGCCTTCATAAAAAATGACCAAAGACTTAAATTCGGAATGAGAAAATTGATTAAGATTAATTCTGCTTAGTCACTACTTCATTAATACTCTAACTTGTTCTTTTACCAAATCAGCTGTAACCAGGATCCTCAGACAAAAGTGCTTGAGAATGGAATCTCTCAGAAAGCGTCATTTGTATTTGAGGCCTTTCGATTTGTGCAGCACAAAAACATGACGGTGTCCAGATTCTACCTGCACTGCATCGCGAGACTCTGTAACGTGTCCATGTGTGCGAGCATGTTACCCGTGAGTCACAACTTCATCGGTCATTATTAGGCAACTGTACAATTTACTTGATATACTAACGTGTGTTTGCCTTATCTCTGAGCAGACCTGTCCAGGTAACAGGAGAAGAAGAGCGACAGAAGGAGAGGATAGTGCTACAATCACCTCATCGGAAATTCTTGTGGGCAAGCTACCCACCCCAGCTCTTGTAAATGGCCAGGGTAATAAAGGTACCAACCCGCTCTTGTCGTTTGTGAAACTTCATGTATGTCATAAAACATTGTGTAATGGCTTTGTGTTACACAGCAGGTGTGGTGGAAAAGTTAGAGTACAGCAGCCCCGTGGTGGCAGTGATAGTGTGCGTAGCCCTCCTCTCCGTGCTCTTGGTGATGATGGGGGCTTACTTCACATGGACCCTCCGACATAAACTTAGGCACTAATCGCGCTACAGGACAGGACCCAGAATCTGCTCTGAGGGCAGCAGTGTATTTTAACCAAAGCTTCAGGGATAATAAGGGACAGTAGGATTCACTGACATCATCTAAGGCTACAGGTGATCTGTCAGTAATTAAAGGTTGTTATTAATGTAATCAATCAGCCAAAAGGTTTGCGTTTTGCCAGTTGTTTGTATTATAATGCATGAAAGTATTATTGGTGAAAGGATGTCATGTTAATTAACTGCAGCATGTTTTCTGATTTTTGAGCATGTGTGAGGCTGCCCTGTTTTGATTACGAAAATGACATGTATTTGCACAAAAGTTTAATCCAAATGATAAAATAAACGGTACTACTTTAAAATTATTCTTGTGTTTTGTGTCGTTCTTCCAAAGAGATCCTCTAGATGGTGCTAAATGAACACCATAATATTTGTATTAGACTCAACATAGGGTACAGCTCAAATGTTACATACACTAAATATTTAGAGAATATGAAGACACTGTTTTTTGGTCACACTGCCTTTAATGAAAAAGTGAGGTTAAAACGTAAAGATATAAGCAGTTAGAGTCACAAAACAATACTGTGAATTTCCAGCATGTTTATTATCTTTTACACGTTTAGAATTCTAAATATGTGTGTCAGTAAAGATATGAGCTCTGTCAAAGGTGTGCATATGTAGTGTACATTTATACCAAACTAACTGGTATACTGCAGCATAATAACTAAGCGCTGTTTCAAAAGGTGGATGGTGAATTTTAAAATTAGATTAAAATGTTCAATATACAAATAAGATAAGTTGTATTGTGTGTTCAGGCTTCCATAAATGAAAATCTATTTAGAAGTAGTTTTTGTAGAGTGGAGCCATCGCAAGGGAAGTACATCCTCGACCCATTCATTCGGAGAAGCCATCATGCGGTCCCACAGAGCCACCTCATACGCTGTGGAGTCCATCCAATCCACCAGAGACCCATAACTTCTGCCTATAGAGCACAATGCAAACTTTTCATGTGCAGTGTATTCTGGCATTTCCCAGTTTGACTTGTCTGTGCTAACATCATTTTCCCTGGAAATCTGTAACAGCCCTGTGGTCTTTCATGGTTTTCCCTGAAATAGATCCTATGGGATTTGAAAACAACCTAACCTAGTAAGTGGTACAGATGAAGATTAGTGCTTGTCCCCTGAGTACTGTGAATTTTTGAGCATATACAAACTTTTGGTGTCAAACCCTGGATTTGAACTCTGGCAAACAAAGGACTTTGTTTGTCAGCTGATACATACCTTTTTACAGATCTTTTCTGAAATAAAGCTTGAATTAAATGATATAGTGAACTTCCCTTTTTGGTTACACATTATAATAACTACACCTTCATTTGCCTTAATGACCAGTAATTCAGATTTTGTAACTTCTCGATTAACGGTTAGGTGCACTGCCAAACTTTTCTGGTGGAGGGCCCGCTACCTGCTTGTCTCCATGGAGATGTTATTGCTTTCCTTGGAATGTTTCATGGTATGACATTAAACATATTTATATCACTTTTATCCATGTTTCTGTAATTCCTTCTGTGAACAGGAGCGACTCTTCACAGATCTGATTTGTAATGTAGAGCAATGCTGTAACTTGCTTGTCTCCCTTGTGATAGGTTCAGTCTGTACTGTGGAACATTCTAGACAAAGTAATAATATAATTTCCATGGAGACAAGAAGGTAGAAGACCCTCCACCTTAAAAGTTACACAATGCACCTTTTAGTGTTTTTATTACAGCACAGTACATTTATCAGACTATAGATGGTTACCTGTTCCTGCTCCTAGTCTCAGTCCGCCCAGTAGGTTGGTGGCCAGTCTGTCCCTGTCCAGAACCGTGAGCTCGACGCAGGCCTCTGTTAGGTCAGCTTGCCTGATGCCATCATACACCATGGTGTGGTTAAACACTGGGTCAGCTGTGCCACGGAGAATACGAGTCTTCTGACGGCTCTTTTTGCTCGTGTCTGGCAGAACAAAGCTGCAGAAACACATGTATTAGTATAAAAGACATACAATAAATGCATGTATGTACAGCTGATTTTCATACCACTTAACATAAGGATCAATAGTGGCTCGGATCATTGGAAGATTCTTGCACTCTTTCACCCAAATGTGAATCTCTCCACTGTTAGGACCAACTCTGGCTAAACCTTTAAAACAACACCACGAGACCTTCCATAACAATTTTGCTGTGTACATAAAATTAGCTTAAAAATAATACATTTAAAAAAGGTCTAAAATTGAACAGACCATCGCTTTGGCCATTCTGTGGCACATAACGTATGGCAATCCTCATCTCCCCTCTGCAGTTAGGAGGTGTCAGAGTAGGATAAGTCTGAAAAGGCAAGACAAAAAATAGTAACAAGTGCAGTGTATTGGGTAAACAGGTGCTATGGTGTAAGCCAATATTTCTGTTGTGCAACCATAAGGTAGCTGAACACTATTTAGCTCTCATTATTTGTCTCATAATGGAAAATGGTACAAAAGCAGCAGGAGAAGAGAAATAAATATAAAGATAAATAGTTACAATTAAAATACACTTAAATCCACATACACATTTAACTTGAATAGTTAAATACACATTTAACTAGAATATCTGCATAAACTTGGAATAGAGCTAAAAAACAAAGATGTAAAAATAATAAAATATAACACTGTGTAAGTAGAGGAAAACTACAAGGCTACAAAACCTTTATGTAGTGTAATTATGTAGTAAGGGACTACGACTGCATAAAGGCAAGAATAAATGGCAGGCATAGAGTCTTAAGTGTATTGTACCAGTGGTTATTTTTATGATACAGTATTAAAGCATAATGCATTTCACATTTACTTGTTTACAATGTAACATTTATAATGTTAGAGATTAGAAAAAGACTGCACTCATGGGAAAGAAGTTTTTTTTGTGTGTGTGTGTGTAGCATTTGTTATATAAGTCTTGTGCATGTGATATAACCATCTCAAGTTAACTCTAGGAACTGAGCTGTCTGAGCCCTATACTAAGAAGCCCTCTATTATTTTGATGAGAAAAGAAATTATGCAGCTTGTCTTGTGTGTGTGCGTAAGGGCGGATACTATTCTTACCCGGGCCTTTAGAGCTAAGTAGTTCATCTGGGTGTGGTCAAAGTCCCACTTGGAGAGATCCACGTCTATTTCACCCAGAAAACTATTCTTACCAAAAGTGTCATGATGCCAAACAGAGAGAATTAAGGTCTGTGTTCTGAGATACTCCATACGAACACGATACTGATGAAAAAAAAAGATTAAAAATAGACAAAGTTCTATACTTTACAATGTATATGTCCATAATACAAAAGGTGACAGAAAATTTGATGCTTACTCTGAGGATTTCATTGAATGTTGGATTAAGTGTCTTCTTTTTCACTGATGTTTTTCTCTTTCCTAGATTAGCCTTGTCTGGAACCAGGTAACTTTTGACATACCTTAGAAAAAAATTGATACAAAATTCAAATGCATTAGTTTTAGTTTTACATGCAGGGAAACTAGGCTTAGTGTGAAACAGTATTTTATATTTTTTATATTTTCAGTTGTTATTTATATTAAGTGATAATCAAAGCAGATTCTTGCAGTCAGAGCACTCACGGATCAGAACGACCTCTCTTGGGGTCAACAGGAGCCAAGTCTTTGCACTGAGCCACAAAGATGTGAAACTCTCTGAGCTTCTGCACATAGTGAATGGAGAAATGGATAGTCCCCTGCACTTCTACACTCCCATAGTCTCCACTGTATATGGTCATCACACTTCCACTTAACTAGGACCACAGGAGAAACTTTAGAGCAGAATTTGAACTTATTTTGGCAGTAACAGAAAACAGTTGCATTGTTTTGGGCCAGCATTCACACTTAAACGGAGTTGTACCTCGTTCTGTAAAAAGGGGACAGACTTGCTCATCTTCTTCGTGTGTTCAGGGTCCATATATAAAGATGACAGGGGGGAAGGCAGAGAGGATCCTGAAGCAGATGAGCACATGATCAAAATGGTCTTGGTAAGAAAATAACTAACAGAGAGCATACCATCACTGCTGGATCTTTGGTCTACAGACAGCTCCTGCCTCCTTTCGGAACCTGTACACAAACCTTAAGTTTATTATCTTTAAATAAAAAGAATAAGAAGTACTACTTACGTGGAGTGGATGCTGCAGTGATGTCCTCAAGACTTTTAGCCAGATTTTTGGGACGTGCTTCAGCTCTCCTCAGTGCACGCTTCACAGGGCTGTCGTCATTTTCCCCTGTGCATCAATAGAATGGACAGTGTATAATGTACTACAGGTCATTATTATCCTTTGTTTCACTTGGACTTAGTTTATCTATTTATTCATTTATTTATTTGAAAATATTGCACATTATTGCACAATCAAGGCCTAGATATGCTAAATTTACTCTTGAGCCATGTTGGTACATCATCAAAAACAGAGTTGTGTTTAGTTTCATTCATTCATTTATTAGCCTGTCTACATCTTCAAAGTTCAAAATGCTCTGTTCCACTTTGTGGTGTCATGAAACAGTAGTTTTCAAGTTAAAAGCTACCCTTTACTTTTAGTTCAGTAAAATGTGCATGTGTGAATGAAACAAAACACAACTCCAGGAATGTTTGTGCTGAGGAAACGAGATTATAATATAGATCATAAAATCACATAATTTGGGCCCTTTAATGGGCATCATAAATGTGCCCAAGGTTAGAGCAGATTTTTATTTAAAGTTTGCTGTGCTGCTATTGATGTAAAGAAGTCAGCCTAAAATAGTCAACATTTTAGGTATGATTAAAACAAACCTTCAGCACATTTAGATAGGGATTGACAGTTATTGTTTCCAAGTTGATTTAGACTTTGACTGAACTGGAGCTGATTTTATTCGTCTTGATAACACTTTTGTGTTAGTATTGATACAACTGAAGCTAGTCTTAGTAATTCTGTATTAACTTACTTTAACTAATTTGTAAGACCAAAAATAGTGTCATTATTTCAATACTTCCTTGTTCATATAGACTTTGATATACAAAGTACCCAGCCCACAAAATAAACATAGTGAGCTTAATGCCAGTTCTCAATTTATTTACAGAAACCTTTACGAACAGAGATAACAGGATACAGTATTATGGGTAGATAGCAAACTCAGTATGTCATTCAAACAATAGCAGCGTGATCATATCAAACAATATGTTTGTTTTAGACTAGTTCTGACAGGGCCTCATCACACCTTATGTCACACAAGACTTGAGTTATAGATGACTTGTGTAATTTTACTGCAGTACTGGGTTTAACTTTGACACTGCAATAGTTGCTATGAAAAAGGGTCTAGCTTTGTTGTTTAATTTAGTTAAATTTGAAACTTCTTTACTGTGTACTTTTCTGCCAGCCGCTAGTCCCACGGACTTTTCTTTGCAACTTTGGAACTTTCACAGTATACATTATACTTATCTGTTTTGGAATTACTTCTGTGAGTTTTTATTTCTTTTTTACTGTGATTGAGGTCACCTCCACTGATCTGACTTGTAACATGGCTTTCTAGCGTCACTGGCTTATGCCCATGGAGATAGATACATTTTATGGGATATTGAAGAGCAAAGCATCTTCAAACAACAGACTTTCCATCAGAAGTTCAATTTTACCTTCAACTTATGCAATTGTAAATAAGCATGTCATATCACTGTAACAAGAGTTCTTTGACTTATCTTAAGTAAGTGTCAGTTGGATCACTTAGAACAACAAAATAACACTTTGTGACTCATAACTGCACGCATAGCCCAATTTGTTTATTATGTAATCTGTTTGGATAATGTCACACAGGCCAATTATAAAGATTAAGAAAAGCATGTGCTGTTAATTGTTTTGTGAATTTACGCTTAAAAAAAACAAAAACTATTATGTAATATGGTGCCAAAAGAATGCAGGATACTCACTATTTGAACTGAGCCTGGAGCTGGGTCTGGATTCTGATGCATTGCACAGGGACTCGTGGAAGGTGTCAGAATTAGTGTAGTTGGGGGATAGGGGGTGCTGTTGTGTCTTGCTTCCTCTTCTGCTACTATCATAGTCCACTTTGACCTCTTTTGACCATTTGCTTGGTAGAGTCGTAGAGGTATGGGCACTGCTCTTCTCAGTCATGCCTAAATAGTGCCTGTAGTCTGTGGGCACAAATGCCCGTGCACGAGGAGTCAGTGTCTCTGTGTCCTCAGATTGTCTCCTCAGACCAGGCCCCTTCTCAGTATTGGCCCGCTGCTTCCTGCTGTGAGAGTGAACAGGGCTTACGTCGATTTGAATCTGATCAGTTTCATCAGTACTGAGTGAAAACATGCTTTTTGCCCTACGAAATGAGTTCATACGACTGCTGGAAGGGCTACAACTGTCCTTTCTGGTTTTAGGCACTTTTCCAGAGTCTTTGGAGCTTCTTCTTACCTCTCTTTGGCACATAGTATCTGGTGTAGAGTGATTATTTAAGTGGTTGGCTTTACTTTCCAGTCTTGACCCAGTCTGCTTGTCCGATGTCAACCTTGGTCTGTAAGGAGGAGGGGGTGGTCTAGAGCTGGGTTTTTCATTGTTAACCTCTGGATCACCGCATTTGTTTTCATGTAATGGCAGCTCTTTACATTTGGGGCTCCTAATTTTGTCTGATGTAAATGATTTGGAGTCTGACAAGGCCTCATCCCAGAACTCACGCAAAGAGTTGAACTGCCTTCGGCCCAAACATGGAGATGTCTTTTCCGCCTTTTGATTCGACTGAACCCCACTTAAGAGTTGCAGGGGTCTGTTCTCCTCCTCACTATCAGAGTCCTTCCCAATTAACTGCAGATCACACTCAGACTTGGCATGTCTTTTTGTTTAGTTTCCCACTTGTGGATTTAAGATCTGCTCTGGTTTTCACAATATATCCTGTTTTTGCTCTTTCCTGTTCCCAGAATGATTTGAGATGCTTGATTCTTTCTTTATCCTTCAGTGGGACATCCTGTGTGCTGACGTGTCTGTTAAACACTGGACTTCTGTCTTTGATGGGTGCACTTTTAGGACTTCTATCTCTATGCTTTCTCCTTTTCATGTCCTCATTTGAACTGTGTGCTTGAATTTTAGGGCTAATTTGTTTATTTGGCTTGAGGTGAACAAGCTGGTCTGACTCCAAATTGTCTTTTACCTGAACCTGGAACTCAGGGATTCTCTTTTCTCGCTTGTTTATTTCTTCAAATTGTAGGTCCTCAACCAACAGTGAAATACCATTAGTTTGTTTGTTTGGAGCAAATAATGAGGCAGGTGCCGTTTTTACTAAATGTATTTCTGGTCCGGTTAAACTTTGTAACTCTGAATTGGTTTCTTTCTGATGTGAACTATTGGCTCTGGTTATATAAATACTTTCACTGACATCTGAGTACTTACAGTTGGCATCTGGCAGTTTATCAGTATCTTCTTGATGTACACCCATGTTATTGTGTATGCTTGTAGTTGATTGGGTATCGCAGCGCTCTTCATCTTTGCTGGTCTTTGATTCTTTGTCGTTAGATGTGATTGATTTGCTGATCAATACTTTGGGCCCTGCATTGCTTTTCTCCCAAAAAGACTTCAGATAAGAAATTTTGGCATGTTGATTTTCATTATTGTTCTCTTCCTGCTTCAGCTGTTGATGTATTTCTATTGGTACATGTGACTTGCCAGTATCAGGATCTGCCTCTGTGCTGGCTAGATACTCATCTTTGGAGCTTTTTGTGATCTTTTCCTCACTGTTGTTGAGCCAGTCACTGCTGTCACTGCTGCGGTTGAACCAGTCCAGCACCTTGGTAATGGAGTCATCCTCTTCTCCAGTGGGGGTGGCCATCTGAGGACTTAGTCTGAGTTCCTGTTTAGCTTTGGCTTGCATTTGTTGATCCGACTTATCAATGTAATTCAGATCATAAGATACTGATGGTTCTGCAGCTGAAACAACAAAGAAAAAAGTACAGGAATTTTAAATAATATCCCTTTACTAATAAGTTTGAGTCTGGAGCTTTTCAAAGTAATGGTGCTCTGATTAATGTTAGGCATGGATATAATCATAAATAAATCTGAATTTCATGGAAAGTTTAATTTTTGTGGTTTGCTTCAAAGGAGTTAAACCTTTAGACTTAAAGGTGCACTGTGAAACTTTTCTGGTGGAAGATCCGCCACCTGCTTGTAATTACTTTGCCTTGTATGTTATACAGTATGGAAATAAACTTGGTTAAACAGTGGAATCAAATTACTTGTCAAGACTGCGCATACTAAGAATTCATGTTTTTCAAGGTATTTTGAGCTATAAAACACCTGTAACTGAATACATGCAAGGCAGATAAGTTTAATGCCATACTGAGTAACAATCCATGTCAACAAGCAAGTAGTTGGCTCTTCACCTTAGAGGTTACACAGTGAACCTTTAATATACAGTTATTGTTAATAAAAAAAAAAACACATATAATTTCCATGAGTTTTATAAACATTTTTTTAAATTTTCAATATTTTGTTTCTTACCCACACTACTTCGGGTGAGGCTGAGCTCCTGCCTGCTTGCTGACCCCACACTGCTGATGATCTCGCCCTCTGAATTGTGAATGCTATTGCTGCTGAGTGGAGGGACCGTTTCCGTGGTTACAGGCGGCTTTTGTGTAAGATTGACCTGTCCATCCTCAGCTTCCCCATCTCTTGTGATGTATGAGCTGGCACTGGAATTACACAGGCAAAAGATAAGCAAGTTTAATTAGAAGTTTTTAGGATGATGAATGGTTGTGCTGTTACCTGTTTTTCTCTGGTGCAGGTGTGTTTCTCTCCAAACTAGATCTAGAGCAAGCTTGAGAAAACTCCATGACTTGTTTTGGTGACGTAGCATTTGTTTCTGTGTTTGTATCTTGTGGTTTAACAGTGGACAGATGAGAGCTCCCATTTGAACTATTTTGCAGGCTGCGTCTCGGAGCAGGTACAACTCCAACAGGACGCCCCAAAGTCTCTGGGTCCTGGGCACCACTGAAGCGTCGGGAAAGAAATGTCCTCTTTTTGGGAACAGGCCGAAAACCAGCAGAGGAAGCATCAGAAGTAACAGAGCCAGCTGGGGTCTGACGACTCCCTGAACAGTCAGTTACTGCTATAATATAATATAGAAGCAAAGCAGCATTTACATTAATAGATTAGCAAATTTGTTCATGTTAAAACAAAAGTAAACTAACTGGATAAGATCCACATTTATGAAACCCAGTTCAAACAACTAACCTGGAGATTGTTGCTCTGCACCATGTGAAACATCTACTGTTTCTTCAGGTGGATCGACAACAAGGAGGGAGGCACGGTTAAAAGGGTTGTGTCGTGGCTGGTATGAAAACAAAAATAATTACTTTTGATAATAAATGACTAAATTTAGGCAAATAGATAAAATATCAGTTGGGTTCCACCCTTACCGTTCTTGGTGAGCGAATTTGGAGGGCTTCTTTGTCAGTGGGGCTAAAGTATTAGTAGCACAGTTATTAGGGTCAAAAAAATCTTACATAGGCATTGTGTTGTTTCAAAAATTTAAGAATAATGACCTAGATCTATATATTGTGAATGTGTATGTGATTTGCTTTATCTTAACTACTGAGTGTGGTTTGACTTGTGTAGTATGTGGGGAGTAGGGTCCTCACACCGGCTCCTCAAGTGTGGCAGGATGCTGTTGTTAAACCATAAAACAACTGTTCACAGTCAGCACCACCTTTGTTTGTTCAGACTGAGTCACGGGCACCGCACACTTACTGTAGAAACTAATAAACTGAGCTTCCAGAACAGTGAGGTACTACAGTCATGTGAGTCCAAGACAAAGGAGAAATTTTTTTAAAATGCACTAACTGAAATTACTGCAGAGGACACTGGATCTGAATGACAACACACACACTACAGTCTACATTTTGCTCAACTGCTATATTTGGAAATACCACCTAAAATAATTACAGGTTTATAGCGATATGGCTGTAGTAATGGCATACTTTGTCTCCTGTGGCTGCAGGGCCTCCCAGGTTCTTGCAGGTTTTGGTGGAGGGATCAGATCTGAGCCCTGACTGCTGGGAGACTTGGATCTTTCCATTCTTATGGAGCCATCTGTGCCAGAAAAGTCTTATTAAAGCAGGTGTCTTTAGATGACATTATAAGAGTTGTTGGTTTAGTATCTCACCCAGTGCAGACTTCCTCCGTTTGATGGAGGCCAAGATGATCTCAGATCCATGGATTGTGTCCATGTGTCTGCGGGACTTAGCCTCATAAAACCACTCTCCAGTGAAGTACTTCAGATTGCTGTCAGGCTGTTGGGTGCCACTGTTAAGGGCATTTTCCAGTTTCCTAAAGTGAAGGGAGAATACAGAGGCATAAAACATGTCACAGCAGCTGACTACCATTTCAACTCTTTTGCGATAGAGGTTTTATTGTTTGCTGTAAATTATTTTATTGAGATGATTAACCATGCCAAATAAAGAACAAAAGAAAACATGTGCTTTCTAAAAGGAGCTCTAAATGCTTCACAGAGTTAACACAACTGTCTCTACTGATGCTGTTGTGGTGTAAGAGTTCATTAAAACGCATAAAATAGCTTTGAAGAGGCATTTTGATTTCAATTTTGTAGTGTTTTACAGTTTAGAATATAATTACTATAACATATTTTTACTTGTGTGTTGTTACAAAAATGTCATTGTAATACACTATATTACCCATTGTACTGAATACAATTAGTAGTTATAGTACTGTTGGTAGCAGTAGACAATGATTCATGTATGAAAGTGTCTTCCTTCTTATTTTTATATTACAACTTTACTTTGAACTGCATTTTAGTTAAATCATAAGCAATAGAAAATATTTCTTCTAAGTTCAAATTGAATCAGATCTGCAAATGTCTATTCCAGCTCCTCTCTTTTTTGGACAGAGAGCTCGTGGTCATGTGAATAAAGGGCAGTACATTATTACAGCCTGCTGCCCTAATCCTTTTACACTGCTGCTCCAGACACTGCACGCATTCCCCTTCATGTTGAGGATCAATTTAATTTAACACAAAATTAAAGGTCTACTCAGTACTTAGTTTGATCATGTAATACACTTTTAATCCTTAAAAATAAATAAACTTGTTTCTTTCCATTATAAAAACATTTGACAAAACAATTTAACGCAGATCTAAACAATAAACTTAATTCTATTTCATATCCAAATGTTGCCTGTATTTCTTATGTCTTGTTCTAAAAAGGCCAAATATTTAGTGTAATTGTTATGAAATCAAAAGGCTGTGAGTCTGTCACCACTGTGTCTCTGGGGTCATCTATTTCAGTCTGGACAAGCAGCATGACCCTCTCTCATGTGTCGACTTCAGCTTGGCCCTAATTGAATTGAACATCTCACATTGAGGTTTCTCAGCATTGAAGGCAATGTCTTTATCCAGCCAAGCCATTATTGTGTTATTCTATTATGGTCAGAGAAGTATCCAGTCTTGAACAACATGTTTACTGTTTCACCACAGCCCCCTCTTACAAAACTACCCAATGAATGACTTTGAAAAACTTGGAAAAGCAATGAAACTGCATTACTTCAGTAACATGACGTTAACGTAAATGTGCTATTAAACATAGGCCTAGCTCCCAGGCAATGATATTAAACCACTGCAATCATCTGTAATAGTGAGGATGATGACTTCAACCTGGGCAGACTTTATTTTGAATTAGAACTAACACTTTATTTTGTTATCCTACTTGGTCACTATATCCACAGTCACTATATCCACTAAGGCTCGTGGCATTGTGAAATGTGCATGAAGATGAAGTACCGTATCCTCTCGTCCTCAGCCCTCTTCAGCTCTGCGTCCCGGGACAATACGGTCATGATGACCTCCTGCTCCTCCTCTGTCAGGTGGCTCAGGTCAATCATCCTGTTTGTCTCCACCAACAGGTGGTAGCCAAAATATAAGGAACACCAGGAGCTGCAGTGTTGGACAGATTAATGTGAATATAGTATGCTGACAGTCAGTAGAAGAATGCAAAAATACTTAACTAAAAATATGTTTTTAACTGAATATTGAGCATATTTAGGTAACAGTAACTACTACTTCTACTTAGCAACATATAAACAATAACAAATGTTTATTTTAATTAGGAAAACAAAGTAAAAAGCAAATACATATTTTAGCACAGAAACAATTAACCAAATAATACATCAGTAATAAAAGCGATTTTTGTCTTAAGTCAAAAGGTGGTCAGCCATAACAAGTTAAAACATGTTAACAAAAAAAGGCTCGCTCCTCTCCTATAGTCTGTTATATGACAATTGAAGAAAAGTAAACTGTAGTCTACCTTTGGTCTATCGGCTCCAAAAGTTCAGTGGCATTGTGCAGATCTTTTACGTTAAGAGCTTCTTGTTATGTCCGCTGTGACGCTGATGGAGGAGCTCGCGTCTTGATCAGAAGTTGAAGGGCGGACTCAGACTTTGAGGATGAGTAGAGCCGCTCCAGTCACTCCTCAAGCATCTGTCCCGCAGCTCGCATTAGAGCACTTTCAAAAGCGCTCTTATCGACCCCACACAATACATTAGCACTCAATTATCACATCTTGTGATATAAATTGAACTGTAAAGCCTTTTGACAGAGTGCTCTGCCGACCGGCGGGTGATGTAGTATTGAGCTGCCGCCAGCAGGGGTCCTCAATATCCACAGGTTATGTTTGTCAAAAGGGTGTGGACAACTCTCTTCTGACCAGGAGAACCGGAGTCAGATCAAACACTTCACCACAATGAAACAGCTGATTTGTCTCAAGAATTAATATTTATTTATTCATATCTATTATTATTATTATTATTTTTTTTTTTTCAAAATAATTCATCATCAGTCTATTAATAAACAGCAATTCAAATGTATATTAATTTACAACAGTCTTGTAACGTTTGTGGAAGCTGCTCTTTATTTGTAAAAGAAAGAAACGACTTTATTGTCTGCTACAGATTTTAATTACATAAAGAACATATCTGCGGCAACAAACGCAGAAGATATTCTGAAATAAACTGAGGAAGAGTAAAATTTGATTGAATTGCTTTCATATTTCATACATCTTTCACTTTGCACTCAAAGAACAGTTTTATATACATACAGCACCGATCAACAGTGCTTTTCAAATCCACTCTGGATCTTTTATACAATTATTTTACATCTAATCTATCAGCCTTTCCTGTAAATGCAGCCACTAGCACACTCTCACCACTGTGGGACTGTAGCATGGAAAGATGTGTGCAACATGAAGACAACTCTTTCACATTCAGAGAAAAGGCAGCCTTAAATATTCAGTCAGTGAGTCAATGGCATGCCGAGTTCAAAGCAGATGGAGCCCACTCCAAATGCAACACGTCTGGTTGGTGGATAAAAAGTGGTTGATTTCAATCAAAACCCTAGGCACAAAATTGACTACATACAAGTTACTGACTCTTACTCTAACCCTTGAACTGTAAGTACAAAGGAGACTGTGAAATCTCTCGTCTAGGAAAACTTTACAAAACACAAAACTGGAGAATATTTAGTGCTCTATCATTCCGCTTAATAGGTGTACTTTAATTATATAATAGCTATTTTTACTCTACCTCTCTGATAGTCTGAGATCCTTGTTTAATTCTGAATCCATCCCACAGGTGTTCAGTGAAGATTTAACAATATTTTCACCTTAACAATCATAAATAAATACAACCAGCACACAAGGAATGTCTACGTGAACACAGTAAAAAATACCAAAAAAACAAAAAAAACAAAAAACAGGTGTAAACGTCAGTAGTATCACTACTTTGTGACAAATAAAGTGAAAGAATGAATGATCAAGGAAATACCCTGTCACAGTCCGCTGCCTGCTTTTGCCCCATTGATTACATGCTTCACATCCAACCACAGCATTTCCAAGTACATAACAGTTTATCGGCTCTCAAATGTATTTTCCATATTAAACATTAAAATTGGTCAGGGATCCTCGCAGGGGGTGGGAGGGAGTCACTTGACATCTTGGATGAGTTACAGAAGAATGGGTGTGAGCTTACGCCACACGTCATTGGGACATGATTACCATGGTTTTGGACAGTCGTTGCACCATTGTGTTCCTGACATGTCTGTGTTTGGGCCTGTGTTTCTCTGCAGGACCAGGACAACAGCTGGGCTTCACCCTCAGAGAAACACGTCTTCAAACTCACATGAACTGCATCTGTAGATTGGCAAAGTCTACAATCAGTAAAGATAACAAAAACTGCATAACAAACAAATTGCTAAATTCAGTCAACTTAAATATGTGGCAGAACAGCTCATAGCTCATATCAGGCAAAACATTGTCGCAAAATTCACATTTTTAAATGTTATGACAACTTGTCTTATACGGAGTAGGAAAGTGCATTTAATTCAACATTGAGATTCAGTCATTTGTCACAATTACAAAATTATTTTGTGTTAAATGGCACTGATTAAATTATGTATTGTTTAATTTCAGGAAATTGGCTCAAAATGTCAGAAACTTCAGGTGAAATCAAGAGCTAATCATATGTCAGTGGCCATTGTGTTATGTTTTAATAGTGTATAAAAATTCATAATAAAAATAAATAAATATTGATTAATTGATCACATTATAGCATTAATTAAAAGAGCACTGAATTAACAAGTGGGACAGAGAACATATGTGTATGACAAGACATGTTTTAACAACACAGGTTAACAACAGTGTTCATGCAATGACCACAAGCAAAGAGCATGCTGTACCTAAACAGATCCTCTACAAGAAATCCTTGAGAGAGAGGTGTGCAAATGGGTCCTGTCCAGGGGCGCGTAGAGGACTCTGGCTGGAAGGACTAGAGGCTGCGGAAGGCTAATTGGGAAGAAATAACAGGAAGTACAGGACAAGAGGAGAACTAAGAGTCAGACTGAACCAGGTATGAGATTAGTATTGGAAAAGCTTAGACTGATCAGACATGTGTTAATAAAAGGACGTTTAGAAAATAACTGGGAGACAAAATGTGGGAGATGATTCACAGTTTGTCCCTTTCTGCTCAGAGTGAAGGGTCTATTGTTCAAACTGTCATCGTCATAGTCACACAAATCATACACAGATTAATTATGGAGCTCATGGCAGCACAATACATTTACTGAGTCTGAGAACACTGACATCACTACTTTGGCTTACAGTAGTTCCAGTACTTTGCACCCACCTGAGCACTAGACACAGAGCCAAAGGGGTTGGGTGGCCGCATTACAGGTTGGCTGTACATCATTGTGGGTGGATTCATTATTCCCATTGAGCCCATTTGTGTAGGCTGCAACATGACACACACAAATCATTTTTGTCTGATATTTATGTAACAGTTTAGCAGCAAACGAACAAAGCAACTAGTAACTAATGCAATGAATGAATACATGTTATTCTAATCTATATCCATAAGACAAGACTTAAGATGTCTAAGACTTGTTATGCCTTACTCACCATGCCATATCCCATCATGCCTGTAGGTGTAGTGGCAGGAAAGGCCATGACTGATGGCGGCTGAAAAGACACAGTTATATTACTGCACAATAAATATCTACACTACACTCATACAAAGGATACAAATTAAACAGGGCCACAGAGGCATTTGAGAGTGGAGAGCAAGAACTATATAACTATATAACTGTATTTTAATCACCATGGAAACAGGGTTCCAGGTTGTGGTGGGTGCTGCTTTGGGTTGCCAGTTAGTACCACCGGTCATCCTCTTCTCTCCAGGCTGACTCCAGTGGATGTCACTGTGCAAGACATTGAATGTTAGCATGAACCGCAGTTGTGGTACAGTTACTTGATCAATCCTTTTAAAGTTTGTTTAAACTCACTTTTTCATTGTGCCATTCCCAATACCCAAATCTGAAATTAAAAGTTTGATTATTTTTAAATCAGTTCAATTGTTAGTAGAAATTAAGCTAAGCCTATTGTTTAAAACATACTTCCAACAAGGTTAGCCAGTGAAGAATCAAGGTCATCTGAGACCAGCTTCTCTGGCTGCTGACTGGATGCCTGGTTGGAGCCAGCAAGAGTGGGTTTCAGAATGCCCCCAGTAATGTCTAGAAAGAAACATTGTGTATCAGATATTGTAATTTTGTTTTTAAATGGTTGCTTGTGGACCATCATATTTAATTATTTAATCTACTTCAAGTTCAGTATGTTAAAGTAATGTCACATAAAGTATATTAAAATGTATTTCTAAAATGTAAAAATTCAGTTGTTTAAATATGTGTGTCATAAGACAAACAAAACTTGCATGAATAATATCTATGTGCTGTATCTCTAGCTACAATATTAACATGTCCAACATTACACTTATCTATATATGACCAAACATAACGTCACCCTCCTATCTTTGTCAAACAAATCATGAACTGTCTTTGGTATTCAAGGAATGCTAAACCTTGTTGTATTCAACTTTTCATATTGAGCTTTTAAAATGAGGTAACTACTGATAGGCCAACAGTGTGTATGGCCTGTCTTTGATTGCTCATGTTCAAATCACGTACACCTTTCTTAAACACACTTGCACATCTACATATAATAAATACAAGCACCTCACCATCAGTGGCTTTTGTTCCAAAAACAGACTCAAAGTCAACATGGAGTCCCCCTGCTGGCTGTTGGGGGGCATGCGGTGGGGCATATCCTGAGAGAGTTAAAGAGATTTATTAGAAACCCCCAAAGATAAAAAGTGTTTAAGAATGTTTATCGCCATTAGGACACAGACGCAAGCAGAATATAATCGGTCTTTCTACAGCTGTACAAGCCCTTAATACTCTACCTTTGAATAGACCTGTTACAGTGGAGGACTCTGTGGGGAAGGGAGCCTGATGTGGGAGATGCTGGGCAATAGATACTGGGCCACAGAAGGAGTCTAAAACACCAAACGGAGCGAAAATGCAGGACAAAGAGAGAGAGCAGAAGAAGACTGTTCACAGTCCAGCCAAAGACATATCAGAAATGAAAGAAATGCAAGAAGAAAGTAAGAAATCAAAAGGATTGGGATTTATCTTAGTGTGTTGAGGAGCTACAAATCAACGGGTCCAAAATGAAGGGATTTTAAATTCTGTTCCTTGTTATGAAATGACCCTATGTTTGTTAAAAACATAGGCAGAGATGGAGTTTCACGGTAGTACCTGAGACGGAGTGCTCTATCCGCACTGTGCGTTTGTTATTGGCTGTTGAGTTTGTGTCAATAAAGGGATTGTAACGATCTGGGAAATCAAAAATAATATTGGTAAAAGAACAAAAATATAGTTTAGTTGCAGTAAAATGTACAATAGGAAGGGTTTTTATAAGGCTGCGCTATTCATCTTTAAACATTGATCATTTGACTTGATACAGACAACAGAATATAGGAGGAAGAAAGGAAATAAGAATCAACACTGAAGGTATAGTTGCACATTTACCATGCAGCTAGTCATGCTAACAAGTGACTACAAAGGAATGAGTGAGAAGAAAAGAAAACAAAATGAGCCATTACCACCAAACATTTCATGAGCAGACGTCCTAGAGGAAAA